AATTGACATGAAATACATCGTACAGTTCAACGACAGTTACAAGACAACAATGAACCAATAAGAAACAAACACGTCATGCGAGTAGAAAACTTGCTGATCAGCTGATCACCTGACAATGAAATAGGTTTTGGTTAGTATATTAGCCAACGTTTTAATCCACTACTATTTTATATTATTTATCTATGTATGCATGTATTATTATGAAAATGTAATATATGTCTCATATATAATTTAAATTAACATAACGTGAAAATATGTAAACAGTTTGTCAAGAAAATATATTTTCATTACAATGTGATTACGTAAGTAATCAACAGATATAAGTAGTATTTTATTCACCAAAGTCAATGTAATATTTAACTCAGTTCCTCATTTTGTAAATACTATTATTGAATTATGAGCATTGTACTATGTTCGTACTATAGTTCAAGAAATGTTAACTATAATAATGCTATGTTTGTGTTCATATACATTCGGATGAGTACGGTACCATTGACAGTGTATTACTGTGCTATAGGATCAATTATGACTGTTCAAATACGAAGAGTATTCAACAGCAAGAAAGTAAGAGTCTTGAGCGTCGTAGTTTTCGACGACGAGACGGATCGTTGTTTCACGATCCCATTGTTGCGACGTTCCGCGATTACTAACGCGTCGCAGCAATGCTGACGAACAGATGTTAATCATGAACTTCGCTGTGGAAATTTTCAGCATAGATTGCTCGTACGCTTGAAAATTTAAAAATGTTTGTTATTGTAAGTTAAATATTGTAGATGGGAGACAAATTTGATATCTGGCTTCATAAAACCATAGATAAAACATACTCCCTTAGTAGATTTCTCATCCGGAACAGCTGAAGACAATTTTATTGTTAGTTCATGTACGGTTTATGTAGAGGTCGTGTTTTGTTTACAATTTGTTTCCCGTTATTACAGCCATTTAAAACCTCGTTTAACCAAATAATACGATCTAATCATAAACAATAACTTGTCCCCTAGTTATATAACCAAACAGTAAAGCACAAATCAAGAAATTAACCCTAAATAATGGAAACAAAGTTTCATCGACACTAGCGCCTTTGTACATGAACTAGACACGAAAAACGTGCTTCAAAATTTACTATGGGATAAGAAGTCTACTTGTGTTGGTTAGTCTATGATAAAACGTAACAAATCTCAAAATAACCCCACCAAAGCAAACCTGCAGACTTAGCGAATTTCCATTTGGGAGGGTAAAAAGTGTTTTTTTTTTTTTTTTTTTTTTTTTTTTTTGTAAAATGTCAATGCTGTAGTTTGGTAAGAAATGAATGTATTTTCAAAATTTGATCAAAATATGCTCATACAAGCAAACTACAACAGTTGACTTATTCTCAATGAGAATAACATGGGAATTTTATTTATTTTTTCCCGTAACTTTTAAGCGCATAATTGACGCTTCAATATACTACATTATTAGATTTTTTAAGCTCTACGAAATGGGTTGGAAAGAAATTGTGAACAATTTGGTGTTTTCAGGGTCAAAAATGGGAAAAATCTATTTTTACCTCATAAAACCCCACACAAACACCCGATTCCATAGTTCAATCGACCTGGTTCGCGAAATCGTTCGAATTAATGTAGCTTTACACGTTTGTGCAAAATTTCATCAAAATCTGACGATTCTTGCTCGAGTTATCGTGCTAACGGACACATTGAACGGATGGTGTTTTTGGCCTCTAGGGACCTCAAAACGAAAAAGTAAATCGGTCCCGGATCCAGGTATTACCATGAGTACTACGGTAATAGCTTATTCCCTACATGGAAAATTCGCTAATAAAACAAATTTATAGGCAGGTAAAACAATAAATCATATTTTCATTGTACAAGCTTAATAAGAGTTCCAAATTAGAAATTTTTAACATGGGGTTTCTACTTATTACAGATATCTCAAGTGTAGTATTAAAAACAGCGAAGGCAAAGTCATATTTTAAATTTATGTACCTATATTTATTCATAATCTACTGTCTCTCCAATATATTCCAACTTACCACAGTTTGTTATAATAGCTTTTATTCAGCCATTTATTAAAAATAAACTCGTTTAGGATTAGCTGGAGACGTTTTTTAGCATATTCCCCAAATAGGGAATAAGCTATTACCGTATGTCTCATAATAAGACCTAGACAAGAGACCATTGTACTTTTTAGTATTAAAGTCTATAACTCAAACAAAAATGATTAGATTTTAATGGAATTTTGTACAAACGTGTAAACCAACGTTTATTTGAACGAGTTGGCAAACCAGCATGATCTGACCATTGGCACTATGGAGTAAAAATTGGGTTTCCCCATTTTTTTGTCTCTAAATAGATAAAATTGTACAATTTATTTCCAAACCATTTTGTAGCTTTGAAAAAGAAATAATTTGGTATATTGAAGCGTTGTAGGTATAACGGTTACGGCGATAATTAAAATAAATTTTAATTTAAAATTCCCATGTTATTCTTATGGAGAATAAATCAACTGTTGTAGATTACTTGTGTGTGGATATGGTTTGATCGAACATGGAAATGTTGTTACTATACATACTAAGCTATTAACATTTAAATAAAAAAAAAAACACCCCTCAATACCTTCATTAAACAAACCTAAGTACTTATTGAAAATCAATGTTATTGAAATAGGAAATAGGTCTGACAATTTTAAGGGAATATTTTAGTATAAGTCCAGCCTGGTAAAAGGAAATTCATTTAGTCTGCAGATTTGCTGCGGTGGGGGTATCATATTTTTCTGTCCGATATTCAGTATATTTTATCCCTTTTTTGGCGTTTACTACCCTTCCTAAGAAGCATGAATTTTTCTGTTATGCGAGTCCCATGCCTCACTTTAAAATTTAAGTTTCCTAAAATGTTTCACTCTCGCTTAGCCTAGTGAAAAGGTGTTAGGTTAATTAAGACTGCTTAAGGGTGTTACTCAACGTGTAATGAACAAAAATTAAATTTTAAAAAACAACAAATGTTACAAAGTGTTACGACAGCAAAATAAAACTTTGAAAAGGCGAAAATCAACAATAATAAGATAAATTAATTTACAACGTTAAATTTACAAGAAAAGAAAATCAATTGAAAATATAAAATAATTAGTTACTGACAAATTACATGACTTGTTTGTTTTACAAAACTTTAGTTATATATTTTATTCTTTTTACGTGCTGTTTATTGTCCCAGAAGCACACGCACCGATATACGCACTCCGAAACTCCTGATCTTCTTGGTCCCGTGGTGATCTCCTCGATTGTCCTCTCCAGGTCCTCCAGCTCCGAGACTCCTGACCCCTCCATCTTCTTTATTAGGCCTTCTCATTGGCTGATTACCGATAGGATAGGGTGTGTGGCTTATAGGTTAACGATGTTTCTTGGAAGTCAGCCCTACCGGTCATCGCCTAGCTCACATCAGCTGGGAAAGGAATTTGTAAATCGATGCTCATGCTACTGTTCAACTCTGTTCACACCAACTGGTCGACTAAGTGTAATGTGAACAGAGTGTCTGCATAGATGAGCACCGTGGGTACGGGGTTAATCCCCTTTCTTACACAGAGTTAATGTAATTTTTATTGTGTAGTTAGATTTAATTTAAAGTAGTTTCAGCAATTAATTATCTAGCTTGCTGAAGGGGTGATAAATCTATAAAAGGTATGCATGGTTTATGGTTAATTTTGAATTTGTATCAATTTATTAAGAGGTTTAGATTGCAAACTGATCTGTTTGTAAGGTCTCATTTAGCTTTCGCTGTTGACTTAGAACACTGCAAGTAGCCAACCGCTCATTCTGTTGTAAAAATAAAAAATATTTTGTCCGAGTATATTTGAGGGTGTTGAGGTTGACTGAATGTGTTTAAGCCATTGACCATTTACCATGCAGGTATAAAAGTTTACCAGTTTATTTTTGGTACATTTTATGAGGTGCTGAGCTTTTTGGTTGCAAATCCAGAGTACGAACAAGTAGTTAGTATTGGTATATAATATTCATTTCGGTAAAAATGTTTAAAAATTTATGAACCACCAAGAAATAGCCAGTAAACAGCAGTACACCGCGTGAAAAGATCCTGAGTGTCTTCACGTGATTAAAAATTATCTCAATCAATACCTATATAAGGGAGTATGTTTCATCTATAGATTTTACTAAATTAGGAAATGTAATATCCAGTACTTCTATGCTGTACATCTGATACTCAAAAGTCTATGTGGCACCCACCATTTCAGAATAACACTAAGTTAAACTACTTTTCATAATAAAATTTAAGTCCAGACTCAGCTGGATTTAAACTCCGTCGGGTTAGCGTCGTCTGTTGTCGTAACTGATCAGTAAATGTTTCGTGTCCGTAACGTGTTTTGTGTCGTGTGTAAATGTTTATTTATTTTTACTTGTTAAATATGACGCTCTTCATATGACGAAAGAAGAAGTACCGCCTGATGATGACTCCACATAGGAGTCGAAACTACTAGTAGTTGCAATTGCAATTAAATGGATTGCTTAATAGCAGGTATTTAAACCTTTTTAATATTATTTGGCAATCCGGAGGCTACATCCACAATGAAGGAAATTCACTTAGTCTGCAGGTTTGCTTCACCAAATTATTCTTGAAAACATTCCTCCATAGCTACTTGTTTAAGAGTTACAGCGTTTTGTGTGACTCCTTGGAAAAGGTGTCTTGCTTCTTGTTCTGTAAATGCTAAACGAGTAAATTAAAATTTGGGAGGAAGTGTTATGAACCATTAATTAAACGTGTACCGAATATCTTGACATCAGTGTTCCACTGAAAATGCTCTAGTCAATAATAATTGTATGTTTTTTATAATTCATGAGTCGTATCTTCATGACATAGTTTGAAGTACACCTTCAACGCACACAGCTGTTGGCTTTGTCAAAAAACAGTGCCAACGTCAACTTGTTGTTGTCAAACAAAACAAAACATGCGTTTTTTAGATTTTAAGGTTATGTTATGTTAAGTCTTACGCTTTTACAGTGTCAGTGTCAGTGTATCCAAATCCAAATCCATTTAGGCCTAGACTCTATTATGATTTTAATGTTTAGTTTTCATTTATTGCATACAAAAGCAGAAAATATCAACTAAATGTAAGTGAATAATCTTCATTCACTGTGTTTGTATGTTTTTATGAGGTGAATCAAAATCAACTGATGAGGTGACTGTAAATGTGTAATAGTGTAGCTATGTCATTGTTTATTATGTATTTTATTTCAAAATTGTGACGCAAGCCATGCATGTAAATATTATGTTAACTGGCAATAAAGAAATATTTGATTTGATTTGATTTTGGTGATATTTTATGTAGGCTAAGTTAAGCATAGTCCTAACCCCCAAATAAATAATTCTGTTAAGTTAATTTGTTCACACATTCTACTTTGATCTTTACCTGAATTCGATTGTTTCCTTTTTATAACGATAAGTAGGCCTACCCTATTATTTTTATTCATACGGTATTTTATTTTATTTTTTGTTTAGCCTATTTTTTTATTTTAAATTTTAAAATATTCTAATTAAAAAGGTCATCCATAAAAAAATGAAAGTGAACATTAAGTCAAAACCTTCATTCCCTCAACAAGAAAATCAATATATGCATATCTCAACAATAATTTGTCTAAAACTAATTAGGCCTAGGCCTAATAGAAGCAAGAAGTGTGATGCAGTCTGAAATCCTTATTTTTAAGAAATATAGTTTGTAGGCCTATGTACGTTATGGTATATTTAAAGTTACCGATTTTTTAAATCCGCCTCCAACATATTAAGAAGCATCCCATGTACATTTTTTAAGTTACAATGTTAAATGTACTGTGTTATATTTTAAGGTAAATCAAGAATCAAATTAATACTCTACAGAGATGAGTGTTACTTTATCTCTTCGTGTCACAAGCGACAAGCGCAAACCAGGAACCAAAGTGCCAAACACTAAGGAAGAAAACTTGATTCCTGTGATAAAATATTTGAGTAAGTTTGTATGAAAAATATTCCTATTTATTAGATTTAGGTTATAACTTAACTGTACAACACTGACAAATCAGGGAGCTTATTTGAAGGGAATCACGTTTTGAACGATGAGCATTGATTGAACGATAACAGCTTTGTCAATGACTAGGATGGAGATCCAGTTAACTTAACTTGGCCCAGTTGAAAATTGACAGTAGTGTAAGTCAGCTGGTTTACATTTGATTAGGAGTGCATAAATTTAGGAAAGTAACCTCCGATCAGTTATTAAAAAAAAAGAACTATGTTGGGGCCTACAAAAGAATTGGTCTCAGTGTTGTCATGTAAATCCTGACACTGGGAGGTCATCATGTGTTGTTTGTCTTGGTATAGTCTTACTTACAGATGAAACGATTCACAAATTATTCTTTGCTCATTAACTTACATTTTGTCTTTTACCCTGCCCAAAGTTCTCGATAAATAACTTAGCTGCGGCTGGAGACTTTTTGACATTAAAAATCTTATAACAGCTTGCGTGGAGGAATTTTTTACCGAGTCACACATTTTGAGAAGCTGTTAAAGTAAATTAAAGTGACTAAATGAAAAATTCTGAATGTCCTTAAAATAGAGGATGATAGGTATTTAATTTAAAGATTAGTACTGTATAGGTAGTTTTTATATACAAGGTCCCTTGTATATTAGTATATTAGATATTTGTATATTAGATCCCTAGTGTATATTAGTAAGATTATGTAATAAACTGAAAGTTTTACTTTCATTCTTAAGAGCTGTTAGCCTCCGGATTACGTTTGAATATTTATAATGGTTTAAGAACCTGCATTCAGTCACAGACAACATACAAGTATTACCCAGAATGCTTTGTGTAGTGTTGTGGTTTATTATATTAATAGAATAAAATATTTAGACATATTTTGAAAACATGATGTGTATTCTAAGTGAGTAAACAAACAACTGAACTGTAAACATATCGACAATTAATTCATCTTAAAACATGTGACAATAACACCAGCTGGTACACTACACTTTGCCTGTCAATTTGTAGGCAGTGCCACCAGCATTGCCATGCTGGTGCATTTTATGCTGGTTGCGCTGCCTACGAATTGACAGGCAAAGCTTTCTCCGAGGACTTAACACTGATTAACATACGGTTAGCATTCTGGGTAATAGTGGTAGCCTATGTTTTCTGTGATTCAGTAATCCAACAACTGCTGCTTGTGGCAACTATAGTTTCGGTTCAGCTAGGAACTATCTTCAGGCCGCACAAGGTGGTGTTATTTACCTCCGTATAAGAAGGTCGTCATATACGGAAAGTTTTACAAGGAAAAAGTTGAATGATGTACATTTTAAAGAGCAAATAAAGTACTATTTTTCAATATTCAACAAACCCCCAGCCTGTTAGCTTAGCTACTCAATGACAAGCAGATGGACCTCATCGTCACATTCAAAGTGCTGTGGCTGCTAACCAAGTTTACATTTTGAGAAACAAGTGAAAGCCATTTGAAGCAACGTCTAGACCATCTAGAGTGGTTAAGGGGAAATATTCCATATGAATGGATAAAGGTGATCTTGTGTGGAGTTAGCCATGTGAAGTAGAAAATGGCAAAAATTAAACTGCGGCCAAACCTTTAATTTAGTCATTTTGTAACATAATGGGCCATTTTTCATTAATTTTGTTGTTTCCATACACTTAAAAATTTATAAATTGTTATAGTTATTAAGTTTATGGCCAATAAAAGTGTATGCACATGGGCGTTAGGCGGAAACTTTCCTTGCTTTAAGAATAGCCTCGTACGAGGAAAAGGTTGCTCCAGATTGATAATTTCATGCTAATGGTCTCATCCGTTAAACCCTCAGTGTTCAAGTAACAAATCAAGTAAGGCAAATGGTATTTATGATATTACATGGATTGATTTGTGTGTAGTAAAAATTTATTATTTTTGTAGAAAGAAACACTCAACATGGCACGGGCAGCTATAAGTTTTTGCAGGAGTTGGAGGAAGCATCTGATTTGAAAGCTCAACTTCAAACATTAAAGGACGTAAGAGATGTTTAGTTAAATAAATCTAGAACTAAAACCAGAAAGTGATAAAAATTCAAATTTTTCAAAAAGGTATTCCAAAAGCAAAGTAGCTTTAAAGATGTTGTAAATCTTTTAGTTGTATGAAGAGAAATTTGTATCCTAACTTATCTCAATTAGTCATTTATTTTACCAAAGTTACATATTTACGTACAAGCATTGGTTACATCGAAAAACTACTCAATGTCAATAGGCTCTAAATAATTAGAATAATCTATTTTAGGATATTATGCTACAATATATTTGTATTTGTTGTCACCTTCAATTTAATCGATTCCATATATTTTATGATAGGCAGAACATACTTGACATGTATGATAAAAAAAAAAACAGTAGCCTACTAAACATCAGACCAAACGTAATGAAATGACTGCAAATGATGTTGTTTTGTTCTTAACAGAATTTCAATCTTTCAGGCTCTTAAATCACTAAACACCCAAAGTGAAAATGACCAGCAAGAAAAAATCTATTTCCATATTATAGTGGATATACTCTTAAATTTAGAACTCAAGAGCCCCTTACGGAGTGGCATAATTCGGTAAGTCTCTTGTAAACCCGCATGTTTTGTTGTAACCAAGAAAATTGTACGATTCCGAACAGTAACCAGTTTGCTGTTTGGATTGACAAATTGTAATTGCAGTTTAGTAATAACTGTTTAAGTATATTGATCAAAATAAACAATTCACAACTTGGCTCTATACATACTTCAAAGCAGTATAGAAAACTAATTGTACACACCTAAGTCTTATAGAGAAGTAAGGTACAGAGGAAACATTCAATGGTGCACTTAAGTGGTGTCTAGGGCAAGGTCCAACTTCGTAGCTTCTTCTAACCCCATTTTCACTCCTTTCCCCTCTCGCCATCACGTGTCACTACAACTCTCACGCGGGCTCTTCCTTGCTTGTCACAAGTATATATTGCTCTTATCGCCTACGTACACACACACACAACATACTAGGGCTGAAAGAGCATGATCAGACATTGCTTAAGCAAGTTTCCTCTGCAATTTATTTCTCTGTTTCTTTGATTTTGATTAAGATAATTGACATATAATTTTTTAAATGATTTTATTGCATCAATACAGATTGCATCGTACCGTAATGTGCTAACTCCTAATGCTGTGAAAAGTAGATCATTTACTTAAAGCTTTTGTAAATTTAATTTCAATCATCTATTTAGTCTGGTGTATTATTACTGCATATTCAAAGCTGATACTTTGTCTCCAGGATTCTCAAAGAGTACAAGGAAACAAAATCCGCCATAGTGGTAGACGTAATATCGGAATGGTTCACAGCAAAGTTTCAATCTTGTGAGCAAGACATTCTGTCGATCCTTAAAACTGCCAATGCTGTTTGTGGCTGCTTCGACAATTTCCCCACAGGTGCAGAAGCTGTTGGGAAATGTGCAAAGGATGTTTTGACATTCATCTTTAACAGCCTCTTGCTTTGCAAAAATATATTAGGGTAAGTTATTCTTTAAGCATTGCAATGTTTAAAAAACTGGTTTTGCTCAATATTTTAGTTTGCATTCGTTTATTGTCATATTTTGAACTAGGAAATAAAAACCCTCCTTACAAAAATTCTGAAATGTAAGAAATGAAATTCTTTTTTTAACTGGTAGTATCATTCATTGACTATTAGTCGTGTACTGGCTTTGCTTGTAGCTTAAATACAATATACAGACATTAACACACGACATATAGATAAATATTTTTAGTTTGGTAAACCTATCATAGCTGCTACACAATCAGGAACTTTTGTTTTATTTTTTTAAATAATCAATCAACGATTTCAGTTTGGAAGGTAGCTCTGTACAAAGTACAGACGTTTGCCAATGTATACACACCCTGGTGCGGGCCGGCCTCCATGTGGTCAGCTTGCAACTATCTGCTGATTTTGACAAGTCACAGCTGCATCAGCTGAGTAAACAGCTGATGGCTTGTGATCTGCCTCTTGACACCCGCACAAACTGTGGCTTACTCGCTGTGACTACCGGCCGACAAGAGTGGTACAGTGTAAGTGTACTGTCTATTTGCCTTTGAATATCGATTCACATCTGTGAGAAAACATCCTATGCCAATGAGTTTGGTGGCATTTTGTAATAGAGAAATAAATGCTTCTAAGTGGTAAGGGGACAGTCCCTTCAATTTTTTTCTTACACTGAGGATTGAACCCTTAAACCTCTTCCAACAAAGTTCAACATGCTAACCATTGGGAATTGGCTTACTCCCGTATTCAAACCCCATGTTAAAATATCCTATCTTCAAACTTGGTTGTTATACAGAACTCACTAACTTGTTCAGTCTTGCAATTGGCAAAGTCTGGAATTCAATTAGCTACGCTAAAGCAATCGGAAGCATATTTTACAATATTTAGCTAAATTAATCCCAACAGAATGAAACAGAAATCATAACCGTAAAAAACTATAAGATATGGCATATGGGGAGATTTTTCAATCGTTTGGCTGTTCTATTTTTGAAACAACACTCACATCCCATTGAAATGCATAACAGAACCCCATTAACTATTATACCCCATTCACAAAATTTAGGCGGTTTAAGGGAAGGTTTCTTGAGTTCCCCCACCACCTTTTTAGCTAAATCAGCTGATCAGATGTTGGCTGTTGTCTCAAAGTTAAAGTGAGGTGAAAGGGATAGAATCGCTTCCCCTCAAACTACCTAAATTTTGTAAACGGAGTATAACAATCACATAACAAATTGTTGAAAAGATTTGTTTGGATAATAGAGTTGAAAGGTTGACAGTTGACATGTAAAAGAGTGATGGTTTATCGAGGTTTTACTGTACCTCTCATATTTTCAGATTCTACAAGATCAGTTAAAGAGTGAAGATGACCTGACATCTCTGTGTTTATATTCTGGAATTATTGGTTGTTTACCAAAGGAAGATCTGACTTCAACTGGAGACCTATTTGGAGGAATATCCCCAGTTCAGCTGATCTTTAACCACATCATAAACATACACAAAAGGTATTGTAAAAACAAATCAATGAAAGTATTATTTCATGGACACAAAAAGTACGTTAAGAAATGTTAGGAAAATTCAATCGGCTGTATCTACCAGGTAAGCTGCTCATCGCTATAGCACCTTGTTTTCGTCATCACGAACGGATGAAACCCTCTTTAGAGAAGGAGTGGAGGGCGCGACGTCACTCTTCTCTTGAGGGAACACCATTACCGTAACGAGACGATATGTTTCCATCGGCGTTCGTGGCAAGAGTTGATAGCGTCTCAGATTGGTGTTCTGGAGGTCTCCAGTTCGAATCCCGCCTGAGACACTAACTTTTTGCCAAAGATTTTCTTTAGAATGCGAATATTCTTAAGTGTACATCTTTTGTTAGAATTTGAGGCATTTATAATTGTATTTATGAACAGAAATATTTTTGTAAAATTAGTTAACCTTCATTCGATTTTTATCTTATATCTTTTTTATACTATCAGCAAGGTTGATTGGTTAGGTTAGGTTATGACAGTTTAATCTTATAATACAAAATTTTAAATTTAATTTTATAATTAAAAATTATAAGTAAACCTTCATTTGATTTTTATCTTATATCTTTTTTATATTATCAACAAGTTTGGTTGGTTGGGTTAGGTTAAATGACAGTTTGATTTTATAATAAAAAATTGTAAAATTAATTTTATTATTAAAAAGTTAATTTTATAACTAAAAAATAAAATAAATGTATAGTTTTTCTTAAATTGACATGAGAGGCTCTCCCACAATCCCCCACTCCTTCGCAGGAAAGGTTCTCATCAGTTCTGGACGAGGAAAATGAGACGCTAGTTGCTTATCCCTATCCTTGTACATAATAATCCTTAAAAGTATGTTTTGTCACTGAAAATGTATTTTCAGTCAAACTAAAAATATATGGTAAATCTGCTCAATCAATACAGTCAGCTACACTGTATTGAGAGTGTAATAGTTTGTAGTGACAAAATTTGTATTTTTTCATGCAGGCCCTACTATAGAAGTAGGGAATGTATTCAATTTAAGCATTATGATTGTTAAATATGGCATGTTGTAGAGTGGTTTAAATTAGTGGATGACTTAGTGAACGACTGCCACAGTACTCATGGTACACCGGAGTCACTCATAGCGTAAACTGGTGCTTATGGGTGACCACGTCCCATAATTTGATGATGTCATTTTCTGCTGACTTTATGTTTATATTTGTTTTGTTACTGAATAAGTTTCTGTATTGACATTTAATATAAATTTCATTACAAAAAAATTTTAGGTCTGCCTAAAAGATTTTTATGTTTTATTAGTAGTTAAAGTGTTTATGATAAAATAAGGCTTAGTCAAATCAACGAATAACCTTTGTTGCTCAAAGAGTTAACAACCAATAAAAAATTATCAGTTATTTTGATTTTTCCAGGAACCCTCTACAGCCTACAGTAACACTAAGCGTCGCCCGTACACTGGTAAGCCTGAGCCGAGTGCTGGTAGCGTGTGACAGTCAACAGCTGATTGACATGTTACCACGTCTGCTCTCCTACACCTGGGAGCATCTTGAACACGTCATGGACAGCGTTAAACATCTGGCAGTTGCTCTTCTCAACAACATCGTCAAACTTCATTCACCCGGTAAATGTCAAACTTTAGAATACTCTTTAACCCAGAAAATAAGAAAAACCATATTGGTTGGGTATGCGGCTTCCTATTACTCTTTCTATAAAATCTTGCTAACGGCGCAGATAAATTTCATATCTGTTGACTTTGCGGCTTGAATGGTCAGTGCTACTAGCCATCGTGGAAACATTCAAAGGTTTGGAAAAATTTGATTTGCCACTCTATTCTGTGGACTTTTCATACATGGCTTTAGTCTATAAAACAGCTGATTACAAGTATTTCCCGTTATTGAAAACCTCATATATTACGTTAACATTAAAATTATTATCGTAACAAATTTTACAAATTCTACTTCTAAAGTTAAAACCACAAAAAGTTTGATATTAAGTAGTGTAATACTCTAATGGCAGTCAGTAGTTATAAATAAAAACATAACCTCTCAATGCTATGATTAGTGATTGTCAAGTTCTTAGGTCTGTGGAGCTCAGCACCCCGCAAAAAGGAAAAAAAGAATTTTTTACTGTTATTTATTTTACTGTTGGATTAGTTAAGAGCAGTTATGCGTAAAATACTGTATGTCACTCATCCAAATTGTGTTTACCCTACTCGTCCGGTCAACACCTATTTTACGGACTAGTAAAGAAATATAATATTTTTCTTACACAAAATATTGTTCTTTTGTTGCCTGCTTTGTGGTCATATCTAATGAGCAATTTCAATGCTAAATAAATCTGAGCTAGTTGGAAGAAGTTGCCACCTGCTGAACTAATAGACAGAGAAAACCAATATTGGATACAGCGATCGCGTACTGTATTAACAAAACAATTTCATTAGGTTATCAACTAATAAAAGACGACATTGGATAGTAACAAGGCCAAGTTTTGGACGATTCCCGTACAAAAACCGCTAAATAATACCACTGGTGTAGATTAACACCCAAAAAATCAAAATATCAATAAAGTAACTATATAGGCCTAATATTTAACACTGACATGAGCCTGTGATTACAGAGGTTGACGTTTACAGCAACATGTTGTCCGCTATGAAGCATCTCCCGGCATGGAGCCGAGCACGACATGTAGCCTTGTCTGCCTTGTTAGGCAAAGTCCCCGTTTCTCAGCTGATTTCCAACGGTTGTGAGATACAACTCATGTACGAGCATCTCAGCAAGGAAGTCGTCTCTTCTCATGTAAGCATTTTGATAAAGCTGAACCCAGCTGTTCTTGATTGTTGCACTTAATGCTCTGGGAAAGAAAATCAGCTGGTCTTAGTCACTAAAAAAGCCACGCAAGACTTTACCTTCCCTGTGCTCTTATTTTGGTGTAAATTTTCCTAACTGTGTCCCAATCTTAAATAGTGATGTCAGTTGAGTAACTATTACAGTAGCTCAGTAAATGTTAATGGAACCAAACCTATAATAGATTTGATTTCTAGTTTCTGTTTTTAATCTTATAAATTGTATCAGTGTGACGGAGAAGAAACCAATATAGGCTACAAATTACAAATGAGCGCTAATCTTCAAAAATTAAATAAGATGCTGGAAGTTCATTAGACAAACAAGATTGAATGGGAAAGCTATTAAAAATAGCTTGGACACCACCAATTTTAAACTAAAAAAAAAGTATGAACGAATGAAAAATGTATATTCTCTTAATAAATTACTATGTAGTTCATGTTTTATTTTTGTATTTTTAAAACTTGTTTGACTCTTGAATTATTATAACTTTTTTTCAATTTTTTTTATACTAGCAGGGTACATTAATTGTATGGAGATCAGATGGATGAAGGAAGAGTTGCAATGTTTTGCTCAAAAGGAATACTGAAAAAGAGTTAGACCATGAACGAAATTGTGAAACATAAGCATTGAAAAGAAAAGTAGAAGTAATGCAGATAGGTAAACATATTTAGCAAACATATAACCATTTAAATTTGTAAAAATACATTATAATTTACAATTTTACTGCATTCATGATCATTCCATTTGGCAATCTAAAAAATAAGTTCCCTGATTAGCCGGACTCTGGTTTGGGTTTGGATGCAAAAAATTTGGTGTAATGTTTGTTGGTAACTATTCATATATTCATTTGTTCGAGTCACTGTAGTAAAAAATAATAGGTATATCTGTTATTGATTAGAGTTCAGATTTTGGTTGAAATACAATAGTTTAGTTTTTGCAACATTTGGATTTTTTTACATTCCCTTGGTTTTTATTGGTTTTCTTTACTGCATTATCATTATTTAGCCCTGATGTAAAGTATATTTCTTTATTTTTTAGTTCAGAAAATGTTGTCAAACATCTTGAAAATCAAAACAACCATATTATTCACACAAAATTGTAATAGGCTATTGTATATTTTTTTATCTACTAAGGACATTGTTGGTACCATTAAGAATTGCGTCTACGAATTTTCTCTGAAGGAAGTATTTTGTCATGTTTACTTCTCAGGCTGTCAATGCTTTTCAAGAATTCATGAGGCATCACTACAATGAAGTCTCGGACAAAGATGAGTGGACACAGTTGTGGATCAAACCTCTTCTTCAACGTCTGGACCAGAATCCTTCGGTGCCTTTACAGCAGGTCTTGGGAAAAGCTTTGGCCATCTCTGACAACTTGGTTCAGTACATCCTCAAGTGAGTAGTCATTGTAACATCTGAAACTAAATGGATTCACTGCTAGATTGCCTAATTTGCTCTTGGTGTTTTTTTTTTTTATCAATGTTTGATTTATCTCAAAGAGCTTGTTGATGGATCTTTCCGTTTCACATTTAATAGTGTAGTACGTTATGAGAGATCATACTATCACCCTAAAACATCAAGTAACATGGTACCGTCATTGGAAACATTATGTTTATTGCCATGTGTTACATCAACTGTCCTTGTAACCCTTGCAAAGGTTATTGAGTTAGTTTGACTAATTTTTTATTTTTTTAATGAGATGGGTTGGTATTTTGAGTTGAAACAGACAGAGTATTGCCAATGGTATTAAAGGCCTATTGCATGGCAAACATAGAAGTTATCCCTGAATGTGTGAATTTGTTGTCTACAATGCCACTTAAGAGAAAATTTAACTTTAATTTATTTTAATAAAAAAAAAATTAAAAATAATAACTGCAAACTAGCGTTTTTATGCAATCCAGACATAATAAATTTTAAAACATGAATTGATATTTTAATTGGGTTTATTATATTCAACCTATTTGATTAGGATGTTTGAAAATAAAAACATGAATTTAAATTAAAGTTCATTGGACGGTAAGTTCTAATTTCCTTACTTAGAAATCTCCTCAATACAGGATAGCTTTAATTACCAAGTGTACGTAAACAGCGGGAACTGAGCAAAGGATGCGAATTTACAAATGGCGGGTAGATGTTGGTGACGTTTAAGCATTTAGTCATAATTGAACAGTACAAACATAAATACTTTCCTACTTTTACTGGATTTTTGACATCGTGTAATAACTAAATAGGGTTATGGCGGGCCTAGCAGCTTTAACTCAACTCTCAGTTCAAAATTTACCACCTCACCATCCGCATACTTATTTGATTACTTTGTAGAAATAGAAATATTTTTTACCGAATTAATAGTTCCTTCATTATTAGCACTAATCAACACTTCTAAAGAAACAGATGAGGTATATTAATAAAATAAATTAACAACAACAATACCAGCGCACGCGGCACAATAAACATAACCTCTCAGATAAACAACAACAAATAACATAACAAATACTCTCGGGCCAAACCTCCCCCCTCCCCGTCACCTTCCTTCCCCCCTACCTCCAACATAGTAAAAAAAAAACCTAGCCTGGCACCGTCCCTGCCCCCTAGTGCTTGCCGCCCTGGACCGACTCCTCCACTCGCTACGCCACTGTTGCAAAGCACAGGTATAGCAGCTAGTTATAAATAAATTTTATAAGTTTGTTTGGCCAGGTTGCCGGAGGGACAAGTCAGTCTTGGCACCACTCTACTCTGCCTCTGCCTGTCTCACAAGACTGGCTTCTTGGACACTAGCGGAGCAGACGACGACATGTGGAGGGGGGTGGTCAGTTACGACACACTCCGCTCAGCTATAAATCACACGGATGATCAGGTATGACTTGTTAATTGACTAAAAATCTACTAGACGTACCATTGACTTGGATAGGCCTAATGAAGTAGACATGCCATCTACATGGACCAGCTGAGAACAATTTTTTATTCATAAAAAGTAGTTGAATGTGCCACTCCTAGAGTGTGCTAGTGTCTGAAATTATATTTTGGTAGTTTTTGTTACTGAGATAGTTGATGTAATGTAAAATATACTGTTAGTTACAACAAGTTTTTATTTAGATTGGCTCGGTTAACAATGGAAATTCAATGGAAACCAGTAATTTACATCAGAACAATCTGTTGGTGGCTTAATTTAACTATATTAATTTGTTTCTAAAACTGATGATAACTTTAACATGTGAATGAAATGTTTACTAACTATTATCATAGACAAATAGAATAAATATAGACTGTCAAAGGAAGGTTCCGGCGCCCACCGCTAGGGTTTGCCGTGTAGTTAAGGCGCACACCGCTGCAGACGAAAAGCCCAGGAGCCGTATGCGACCAGCAGACGCTGCAGCGGTGTGCGCCATAACTACACGGCAAACCTAGCGGTGGACGCCAAAACTTCTGCTAACCGCAGCACAGCTGACGGTCTATATTTTTATTGTGTTTGTCTATTCCACTATTCAGTATTCATAGCCAAAGGTTATACTTACTAGCTCAAGCTCAGGTCCAAGCAAAATACGTCATGTTCTCTTTCTTTGGACTTTTTTTGAAGTATTATTATTATTACATATTATTACTAGCTGTGTGCCCGTTTTACACACAGGAATCTTATCGTAGTCAGTTGAAGTTGAAACCTTATTATATAAAGAACAGCAATTGGTTTGCATATTTTCAGATGTGCTGGCAAAACTATTATATATAAACCTAATATAATGCAGTAATAAATCCTAATCCTAATAATATACAGTAAGACATCAGTTAAATTGAATACTACTGTAATAAATAAGGTGCAACACTAACGATAACTAATTTGTAAATACTAAATAGTGATGTGTTGGTACGTAAAAATTATTCTTATTCTTGTTGATACCACCGGTTCTAAGGAAAAAACCAATACCAAAAACCAACGTTTACATTTAAGAACTATAGTACATCCGACCAATTGAATGCGTTAATCCAGTTCCGAGGCTATTGATCCCTCTTGGTTTTGGATTTTCTGACAAAAAGTTGTCGAATTTGTAAAAAACTTTTAATGTTAACGTTAACATTTTGGTGACAGTTTGAACAAAACAACCTCATCCAAACAACTTTTTGTTATTTAAAAGATTGCGTATTCTCTATTTTAAACTATGTTTCGTATATGTAGTTAACATAAGAAGGAAATGTGAAAAAATCACACAATGTTGTGTTTTTTAACGTTTTTAATTTGATTTCCCAAGTAGGTAGGTCATGTATTGTAGGGAAAAGTACCGGTATCAAGGATCGTCGTCGAATAGGTTGTCATGAATAATTGGGTAGGCCTACGTACCCAAGATACAGTCTATGGGCTTATTGGCTGTATGGTCCAGCGATTGCAGCACATAGCGGTGAGTAGAAACCGAATGTGACACATTGGAAAAGCGAGTTTAGCATCATCCGGAAACCGGCAAACCTCTGTTACAATCACCTACTGCAGTTATGATTTTTCACTTTACACTTCACACAACCGCCATTGAAACGCCGTCAATGAGTGAAAACCTTGTTAGTAAGCTATTGGCGACGATTATTTTATAAATGTAAGTTCCCAGCCCTATACAACACTGATTCAAGGTCTTTTTCCCGGTTATCAGAACTTCAAAACAATTTTATACACAAAGAATCTCTAATTTCATTTACGGTTACAATAGACATTATTTAACTTTCGATTGATTAAATCCTTTATGTAAGGAAAATCGTTTTTAATTTCACTTGGTTTTGGATTTTGTTTTCAAAACGTTATTGGAAATGTTTGCGGTATTTGTAAACAACATTTAATGTAAACATATTAGTGACAGCTAGAAAAAATAATCTTGATCCGAACAGCTGTTCTTTATTTCATAGATGATTATGTGATGGACATTGGGAGAAAACTTGACAAACATTTCACGAAATTGGGTTTTTAAACATCCGTCATTTTATTTAAAAAATAGTGAGGCCATATTTTAATGGCTAAAGACAATCTCGCCAATCCAGTGAATACATTAAAATTATTTGGATCTTCATAGGTACTCTCGTTTTTCAGGAGAAGGCCGCGTAAAATGCCTCTTGTGCCGTAACGGACAGACCAACAGACAGAAATAGAGATGAGACTTGTTTTGGCTTCTTAAATGTATAAAATGGAAAAATAATCTAAAAATTTATAATTTTGAGCAATGTACAGACAAAACTCTAATTTTAATTATATAGATAAGACTTTTACTGTGCTATGTGTAGAAATTTAATTGAGGTAATTTTGTTTTCAAGGAACTACTGGCTAAAGCTGTGAACCTATTAATAAGGATTTTCCTTGATTCAGACAGCCATTTGATGTCATTCAACATTTCATACATCTAATCTAGGAATGTGGCACTGTAGGTTACATTTTGTTGTTGTTTTGTAGCCCATGACAGTCAGGCTTGTAAAAATCTAATCATTGTGATTTAGACTCGCCTGTCCTGCCTCTCTCTGATCGTGGAGGCCCCGAAGTCCTCGGAAGTGTTTACAACAAACGAGCTACGTTTAGTGACGGAATACGTCTCTTACAACCTGCACTGGGAATGTCCTGCGGCTAGACAACGCAACATTGCTCTCCTGAACAAGGTTTACTGCTATCACTACTTGACCTGACAGTTGTAATAAAAATTACCATTGACATTCTGAAAAAAGATGCACTCTGTTTTTTGTGAAAAGTCAATACTGTAGAGTAAATAATAGACTAAAGATTTGTCATACTATAGTGAGATTCATTATTGTTTTATGCCACTTACGAAATGGGAGAAAGAGCACAATCCTGAGGTTTTAGTTCTATCATATAAATCCTGTGTTTGTGCCAAGCAGCCTTTTAGCTGATGCATCTAAGTGTAAATAATTAATTTTACTGCATATAGAAATCTAGATTTTATTTTAATTATAGAGTTGCAAGTTTGGTGTTGAGGCAGAAATGTCAGTAATATTCTTAATATTTTGAAAATTATATTAAATTGGTCTGAAGTGACTTTTCAAATTGTTTCTCGTTAAGGGAAGTGCCTCTTTAAAAGTCAATAGCAAAGCTACTTAAATCTCAGTTCTAGGATCGCCTTTCACTCATGTTTTCCCAAAATACACATAAATCCATTCTACTCTTATCATTAGTGATCTTAGTGATTGACTAAATGATTGTGTTTGTTCCAGTTCGTTAAACGGTTCAACGACAGTCACCAGGCACTACAGAGGCGATCAGACACCTCTGGTCAGCTGTTGTCGTACAGTCAGTGTTACCAACAGTTGCAGGACGTCTGTGTAGACAGTTTGTTCCCCGGGGCGACTCACAGCCGACGGGTGTCAGCTCTACACCTGCTGCTGTCCCTGCGTCCCCAGGCAACCCCTCTGCTACAGGCCGCCCTGTTGGCATGTCTGGCTGATAGTTATGAAGATGTCAAGGCTATGGCCGTCAGACTGCTGACTAACACACCAGGATTGTTGGAGGAGTTTAAGGTTAGTTTGTGATGGGAATAATCAAATAAATAAACAACGATTTTCCATTTACATTATTGGACAGTAGAAAATTTCTGGTTTAACCAATCAGTTTAAGATACATGACTAGCCATAGGCTAGGACGTTGGTAGGTTAGGGTGTGCAAAGGGATGTCAATAGACAATTATCTTAATGAGAGACTTATAAAAAGTAAATAAGAGGTAAATTTATCTTGGTTTTTTTGTGATTCTTATACCTCCTCTATGAAAATTGTTTGGCCAATTATGTCACCTTCTTCAGATCTTTGTCAAAAATATAAATTTTCACTCATATTGAGGTCGTTGAAAAATTAAACACCCTCACACGTACGTTTGGATAAAACATAAAAAATAAAGTACAAAGAAAAAAAATAAAGTACCTGCTGTAGCCACAGGTACGCACTGCTCAATTGACAAGTCCTGACAAGACTTATAGAGGTTCAAATCTAAAAATATTCAAATTTAATTGCTACTATCAAAAGATCACCAGTTAATCTTGTAAAAACTAAGTAGTTTTTTATGGTTCAAAACTAAGTCCATCAATCCTTGATAACTGGGTTTTTACAAATGCAAATAATGGTATTGATTAAATAAATAGCTAATCCTACTCAATAGCAAAGCTAGCGTCACAAACCATCTCAATCTGTTTTATAATAATCATTTAGTTTTCAATATGCACCTAGGCTCGTGCCATTGTCTTAAAAGTGATGAACAAAGGAATGGAACTTCATGATCAGATTCCATATCCCGAAACGTATAGTGACATCTCTGTAGATTTTACTAATCAAGAAAGAAAATATCTATCATAATCTTTTCAATCAAATGAAAAAAATAATTAACTTTGAAAAAAGTAGTCTTCCAGGATGTAACATTGAGCACAAGGATCTAGGGGCTTAGGATTTCTTATTTATTTAGGTTAGGGCAATAATAGGTTTTTTACATACCTCAGTCAAATAGTCCAATAAACTATATTGCTCAACAGCCTACATGACTATTTGATTGGGGTATGTAAAAAACCTATTATTGTCTTAACATTAACAATAGAGTCCAGGGGCTGAAAACATGAATTTTGATTGATTTATTTATTCCATCCAACAGATATCTCAATTTTTTACAAGTAACTAATCAATCAATAAAGGACAAAAAATCTGATTTGCTAAGGATACTTAGGTGAAAATGCTGTTAGTGATAGTGAAATATTTTAAAGTATTGTGGTTTTTCTGACAGTTTGGATTCTTTTCCATTCAAGTAAGCCATCCTCACAAAACACCCTAATTAGGTCTTCAAAGTGAGTACACTAACTAAACTCTTCAGATAAACAATACAACCTGTAATAAATGTTTCCGTTTGGAAAATGGTGTGAATAAAATGTTAGGCCTAATGACTCTAGGTTATGTTATTATATTTTGATCTTATTCCTCAGGAGCCGTCAACAGTGTTGAACGTCATCCGTAAAGGTCTACAATACGCTGGAGGTGTGAAGCCACCCGAGAGTCTGTCCGCTGCGTATCTCCTCACCACTCTGTCTCACACACCGCTGTCAGACGCAGCGTGGGCGGCCATCTTGGACAAGTATCCATTTTGTAACCATAACGTCATGTAAGTCTTTCATGTGGAAGCTAATTTAATCCTAAGTTTTTTTTTTATACAATCATCATCATATAGGGAAGTCTAGCAGCGAATGTTAAGTTTTTAAATATAGGTTATTTTGTAATGTAATTTAATCCAGATATACAAATATTAAAAAATCATGTTTTCCAGTGTATGTCAGCACATCAAACAAACAATCCGACCCCTTCTATTATAGCTATTAGCTAAAGTACTCAAGCAAAATTAACATTATTCCCAAGGTGTGTGAAAATGGCATTCTGTTGAAACATAAAACAGTTTGAGTGTTATGATTAGAACTACTGAAATACTGTGAATAAGTCGACATTTCAATTTACTTTTGTTTAAGCTCCCATTCATTTTTATGTGTTATATTTCAGAGAATACAAAGGCGTGTACTACCTAGTAATGATAGTTGCGGATGAACTGACTCGCCAGTTGGCTGTGGCTGAAGAGAACTTACTGAAAGCCGCTTCCTCAGCACCTCTTCACGGACTGCTGTTTACCATCAGACTAATGCTGACTCAGGCTGACCTCAAGTAAGTATCAGTAATCTGAAAGAACTCAAGATTCCTAAGACATTTTGAGAATTAAGTTTTGTACACTATACAATTTATTGAATTCCACGTTTTTAATTTTGTGTCCTTTTGAGCTATTAGTATTTTTTTAATGTTTCCCCTAAACCCTAGTCTTTCCTTGTCTACCATCGCTCTTTTGATAGAAAGCATCATTAGTTTATGTACATTTAGACCAAAAAATTGTATCTGAGTCAATTTTAAAACAATTTTGAAGTCACAAAAGTAGTAGTAGTAATCTTTTAGTACTTTTCTAAATTTATTACAACTAAAAGAACTAACATTGTCTGCTTTCTCTCTTTGTGTTCAGGAGTTGCAACAGCGAGATGTGGAGACAGCTGATCAGAAGATTGGTAGAGCTAAGTTTCAGCTGTAGTGCTGCAGTAGCCTCAGTCGTCAACAGTGACTCGCCCGAGGGACATCTCCCCATGGACTTTGACTTTGGTGGGTAACATGAGGACCATATATCTATAGACTTTTAGTTTTGTTTGGGGCCAGTTGTAGTCTTTAAGGTATTCCACTAAAAGGAACTATAAGTGGTGATTGATATCATAGGGCACTTATTAAAGCAGGTGTGGAAAACATTGTGTGCATTTACCAAACATTTAGGTACAAAACTAAACAGTAGCCTCCTATTTGACTTCCTCATTTTAACTAAATAGACGTCAGGACAACCGTCAGGAATCTGGATAATGGTCTACTGTACCCGTTTTTAAATCTCAGACAACAATATGTATCATTATAAACTATCTATTAATTGTTGTTAACTGTAATGTGTAATAACTCTTTGTCCACCAGATCCGTCTGACGTGTGTGGTGGTGAGCAGGAGGGGGTGGAGGGAGTGACGTCGCAGATGGTGTTGTTGTGTTCTTGGAGAACTGTCAAAGAAGTGTCTCTGTTGCTTGGTCATCTAGCTGAAGAATGTAGCATTGCCACAACACCACAAGGTATTCTGTTTTGATCCATAGGTTTCAAATTGAAGGATACAAGGGCATGTTTGGTAAATCTAGGATTGTTTCAAATTCACATATTCATTGCTGAATCTCAGCCATTCTATTATAAATTTCTTTAATGAATAGATTGAATTGAATCTTGAATCTGAATTCTCAAAAATCAAGTACCAAATCTAAAGAAGTTTTTATAAAATTTCATTTATAATGTGAATATTTTTACATGCAGCAAGGATTAGATGATATTTCATAATGACAGCAACATTCTGATTATTTCACGGTTGCAGAAATATCATGATATTCTCGTCTTGTAAAGACCCTAAAATATTTCAAGAAGTTTATTTAAAGCTCTTCCTAAATTTTAGAGACTGAAACATTCTGCTTCTTTTCAGAAAAAAACTTTTTTCAGATGGGAATGGAACTAGTCATATTGTAACCCAAAAATGAGTGATGAATGAGTGGTGGAGCTTAGAATGTTGTGATGTGCCTTGTGTAGCTTGTTACTGACTAGGGCCCGCGGCTTCTTAAATCAGGATGGTTTATTAAAAGTGTATAAAGGACAGCTGGGCCAGTTTTGAACCATCAAAAGTTTCTGACTGTTCTCAGGATGAAATCGGCTACCTTTGGATTGTTATGCAAGCACTACAATCACTCAACTACCCAGCTATCCATACCTACTAAACTGTATAGCTATTACAAATAACTTATTACTTACTTAGGTCTGAAAGTACATTTCATGTTTCAGAAGCAGGACTGTTGGAAGAAAAGGATATTTTGAGGATTGGAAACCATTTGACAACACTTCTGGCTGAAACCAAACATAGAGGAGCTTTTGAACAGGCTTATGTCGGCTTCTGCAAACTGGTGTCTCGTCTTTGGAGGTAACTAAGTGCTTAAAGATTTGGTTCATTTTAGTATAACTAGTAGCTTTACCCAAGCTTAGCAACAGGCTTTATTGTAATAACAGTTACTCTTCCCTCCGCTGACTGTGGAATCTCAATTCTACCTCCTAATTTTAGAAGTCAGTGGTAATTTCAATTTTCTACTAGTGATTGGTTGTTAACAAACTTGATCAAAATGCCAACAGAGTAAATGTAACTAAAGTAAACGGTTGTGTAAAACATTCTGGTTACACTTTTTGTTGCTACAGATAGCAATATCAATCATTGTTTACTTTTGAAATTCCAGTGTGGAACATGAAGATTTAGATCCTCTGTCTATAGTTGAGTTAATGTGAGTTACTTTGATCAACACAAAAGTGTTCATACATCTGATTAATCTTCCTATTTTCAGACTCCCAATGGGGACTCTCCAGCAGTTGCCATTGAAATGGTTGAAAGACACAATGGATGAGATCAGCAACAATGAAGAGACTCTTTGTGCTACAAGGAGAAGTGCTGGGATACCTTTCATGATTCAGGCATGTATTAGATTTATAGTAATCAAATTTGATACATGTTTTAAACTCGGTACTATTTAATGTGTTTTCTTATTTTACCTCCAGAAACATGACTGCTCTGTCGAGTATGTTTGTGTGTGTTTATTTCTCAACATAACCAGCCATAGCCAAGCAATACTGTCCTACGCAATACAAATTTCTTTGTACTGGTTCAGGAATTGATTAGAAGAGGAAGAGGGATAGAGTACATGAAAGTACGCGAAAGAGTACTGTAAGAAAGGACCATGAGGTCCTAAGTTCGCCTCAATAAAGAAGGTTTTTAATTTCATTTAATGAAAAATTAGAAAATTAGTGTCCAGAGGAAACATCTAACAGGTCATACTACAAAACATAAAACTAATGTTTCCTCCTAATATAGGATTCCTTCAGAGAGTAGATTAAAGAGATATTTTAGTCAACAATGTCAACATTAAAAGCTATAGTAGTGAGTTCAAACACAAGAAGTTCAAAACACTTCTCCCTGTTGTATTCAAATTAACACTTCTCTTCAATCTACTCTCTGTAAAAGTCCTATATCATTGTAAAATATCAGTGTTTTTTTTTATCTTTTGTTTCTGTATCTATTTGCTGAACTCTACCCATCCCCAAAATAATCACTAATCAGTCACCTGGATTATATTTTTAACAAAACCTTTTTACAGTTCAATTATTTTTGCTGACAATTTAACCCAACCATTACATCTAAAAATATTTACAAATTTCCATCTTTATATTGCAGGCTCTGATCTGTACCCAGATGGAGGTACAAGGTCCGTTGTCAGTGGAAGGGTGGGTGAGTTGTCTGCTAGCTTTGGCTGAGTGTGCGTCTGCGCCCCCCACCACTCACACTCATGCACTCAACATCCTGCGCGCGCTGTTCCGCAGTACACAGCTTGGGGAGGCTGTATCTGTCTGTGTGGAACGTGCGTTCATCGTCACCATCTCTGCGTTCTCAGCCAGCAACTGGATGGTAAGTCGAATGCACTAGTAAACTTTTAGTATATATGAGTGTGTGTAAATAGATGTACACAGCAAAAATAAATTGTTATTTCAACTTAAACTACAGTTGGCAGCACTGTTGTGGAACTTTTTAATTTGAACTCTAACTACCAGTCTTCTTTCTTCACTCTCCTAATAAAGTCCCTAACTGGGACAAAATATTAAGTTTTACTGCTTTGTGTTATGTGTTTCATGTGTGTTTTACCATAGCTAATTTGGGCTCTGTCTACCAGGTAAGCTAGCTTATCCTTATCCTTATCCTTATACATAATAAATAATCCTAATCGAACTAAATTAAGGTAAAATTGTCTATCACCATTAGGGAAAAACGGAAAAAGTTTTTCTGTTTTAGGATCTAAAATCTGATCTGGTCCACTGGTAGAATAAAACCTACAACATAAGCAAATCCAGTCATAGCTGGTAAAACACACAGATAAGATAATGTTTCAGGAGCTAGAACATAATAAGAATGAGCCAAAGGCAATAGAACTTTTATGACTGCACAGGATGGCTTCTGAGACCAAATTAGAATAATTTTTGTTATTCACATATGATTCTCTATTTTATTGCAGCACATTGATTTAAAATTTGTGGTAGAATTTTCATCACTAACAGTATTGTCAAGCCTTATTTACAATTTATGGTTTTGCCATAGGAAAGAAACTCAGCAACGTTGCTTCTGAGCGCTTTGATGACTCGAGTGTTTGGAGTTCCGAGATCCAAGAGTCAAGACAGTCTCTCCTGGAAGAACAAGATGACAGGGAGGATATTCTTCCAGCGGTATCCGAAGCTGTTTGACTTCTTTCAACTAGAGCTGCAGAAAGCTTCTCAGTCGGGCTCAAAATTGCATCCTTCGTTGTACCCGGTTCTGCTCATACTGGGACGGCTTTACCCATCGTCTCTGGAAGGCACTGACTCTAACGTACAGGTAGTCAAGTCAATGATTTATTTATTTTCACATAAATGTTTACAATTGAACCAGCAAAGCTGGGTATGTCAGGTGTGGTGTTCTAAGTCATTTACAGTTTATAATTTAGTCATTGTAGTCATTATTATTATTTTTTAAATTCCAATTCAATATTTTTTATCCTGTGACAGTTGACCCAGTATATACCGGACATAGTAGTGTGTTCTGGCAGCAACATATACAAGACCAGGACACTGGCAGCCAGAGCAATGGTAGCCCTCATGTCTCTTTCCCACTTTGACAATGTCATACAACAAGTCACCCGGCCTGATATATCTACCAATTTCAGGCATGGCTTACATTTACAAGTAAGTAAATCTGTTTTTGTCATAAGTTTGTTGGGCTTAAGTACGGTTCTAACTTTTTATTCTTATTACTTACAGTAAGAAAACGTCTGTGGTGGCCGAGGACACCAACTGAATATTTTGTTATCAAGTTTGTGAATAAGTTAGCTTAACCTTAACACATTTACTACCAGGTGATATAAGGCATACTATACAGAAGAGTGTGATGAGCGGTAGGCAACGTGTTAAAGAATGGTGCAGTATGACATAAAATCCGCAGTTTGATAGTAATGAAAATGACCAACCACTAGACCAGACATTTTAGTGCCTGCAAGATATTTAATACTAAATTTTCGCAAACCTTTTCCTTAAACATTTTCTAAGCTGATTCCATGATATTTAGGTCCATAAACTATCAGGAAACGTCTCAAAGTCTGAAAGTTGAGAATTTTTTTAGAAATGAAACTGGTTAAAATTATTGAACTCAATAACATTTTTTTTCATTACAGGTGGCATTCTTCCTGAAGCAATCTGATCTCAAGGTCAACCATTTGTTTTTCAAGGACCAAATAGAAACCTGGATTGAAAAATTAATAGGTTTATTTGACAAGAAGCTCAGTGTCCCAGAATTACAAGCTTTGGTCAATATATTCAACATTTTCTATGATAAATATTCCTTACTTGTACCACAAACTGTGTGGGTACAAATCAGAGAGAAATCCAAAAGTCTTTTAAATCCGATTCCATCTTCTGAACTGCTTGGATCTTGTTTGCTTCGACCTGCTTTATGTGAATTGTTACTCAAGTTAGCCATGAGATCAGAAAAAGACATTGTGTCGTTATGTTGTCAGCTGTTAAATGATAATATATACGAGGTTCGACACACAGTGTTGGATTTCATTAGTTGTCTCTGCGGTTACAGCTGTTCAGAGAGTTTTGGTGAGTTTTACAAACTGGTCGATTTTAACACAAAGCAATCTTGTAGATACCTCTTGTTACACGATCATGAAATCATCAAGGTCATTGCAGAGAAAGCTTTAAATGTGTTTGAAAACAAAGGAGATCATCCTGATGATAACGTTAGGTTGCTATCAGTGTTGAGAGGTTGGGAAGAAGTCTGGGTTGAGATATCGGACAAATGCAAGGAGGATTTGCTGGCAAAGTTGCTGGATTTGTGTAGAGATTCCTACAATGAGATTGCTACCTGTGCTTTGTTTTGCGTCAACGACTTCTTGAAATCAAAGGTTAGTATTTTAGCAATTCACAGGGTGTTTTTTTAAGAATGGTCCTGTGAGACACTCATTAATCTGACAAACAAGCTTATATGTTGGTATCCCAGTTTACTTGACTTCAAAAAAGCATATCATAACATTCATATTTTTGTAAAGATAAATTTTAATGGCTTTACTCTTGTTGGGGGATAATTTAGATTAAGGAACATAGGTTAGGTAGATATTAAAAATTTACCAGGTTAGGTAAAATTACCATGTACCAGCTTGGGAATTACTTTTGTAATTATTGTGTTCAAGCGTTATGTACAATAAAGCTTTGTCTATTGTCTAATAAAAATATGCTTTCAGAAACACTTGAATGAAGGTGATATTACAAGCATTAGTACATTACTGGAAGAACTTACTTCCTCAGAAACAAGCTATTTATATCACGAGCCTCTGCATGAACTGGTAGTGAAGAACTTCAGTGCATTACAGATGTCAACACAAGCAGTCAATAGTAAGTTGACAAATCGTCTTTAACTTTATGAGTTTTTATTTTAAATTGAGTTCAATCCTATTGTCTGAAGTGTCTTTGACTGTCAAATAATGTTGGACTTGTACAAAAGTTTAACTCTTGGGTTTTTTTTTACTTTGTCCCCCTTTACATAACTATGGGAATTTTGCTAAAATGTTCATCATAGTATATGGAGAAAGTGTTGTTTTTGCGGACATTTTCCATCACGATTGTAAAAAACAATAATGTTACAATTGCAACATTGTTGTTTGCAATATTGTTATGTTGTTGTAACAACAATTGTGTTAGTTAAGTATTTTCACCTGAGGACGGGATCAGATTCCAGATCCCGAAACGTTGTGTATTGTTTTTTACAATCGTGATGGAAAATGTCCGCAATAAACCTTTGAACAACATTTACAAGTTGTTCTTCATTTTTTGAAATTTTGATTTTTTATGATAAAAAAAATTGAATTTTCACAAAATCAGCCTGAACGATTTTGACTCTGAAATTTGGTCCTTGTAACCCTATACAAAATGGTACAAGCCATAGTCCAACAAAATGGTACAATGGTACTGTAAAAAATTACGGTTTATAACTTATTGCTACTTTTATGATATTCCCCATATAAAGTATCATAGTTACTCCCACCACTTACCCATGATGAAGGTTGTTGATAAGCTAATGGAAGAAAGTATGTGTCAGATTCATGATCCGTTTATTTCTACAGTGTAAAATTATTTATATTTTCAATATAATTTATATCTTTACTATTCTGTCCTACAGGACTGCAGATGTACAAGACATTGATTCAGTTGAGTGATCACAGCCACTGGACACAAGTAGTAGACCAAGTGACCAGGACAGAGAAGAATGCTGTAGTGACTGCTACATTGGTGCTGGGCTTGACATTGGGTCAGTTCACAGGGTTGAGACATAATCAGGATAATGTGGTATGTATGTAGTGTGACTCTTAGGTTTGAGTTTTTAAATACTATTTACAAAAATTCTGGGGGAAAATGAACCATCATTTTTGTTTGATACAGTAGACGTCTTAACTGACCCTAATGGAACTAGACCTAGGTTGGATAACTGAAAAGGTCGGTTAAAATGGACAATCCCTAAAACATGAAGTGCTACTTAATACTTATACAACCATTATTTCGAAGTCGTATTTGCATTATTTTAAAATACACTTTTTCGTACTACTACTTTTTTGTACTTTTTGTAACTAACTTTCTCTTTTTTCGTATTGGTAGAAAAGTCACAAATAAACACAAAACACGGATAAGTCAAATACTTTCAATGGAATAAATTATAGTTGTGGGCAAGAGTCAATAAAAATTTGTATCTTAATAACCTAAGTAAGTACTGTAATATTAAATAATGCTTTTCAAATCCAACAGTAGAGAACGTTTTGTCCAAATTAAAGATACAAGCAACCATTTTGTTACGAGACAGGATGGTTTTTTAGCCCCTCACTGGAGGCTCGTATCACAAAAACTATCTTGACCTTGGAGTCGTTAACCCCCCTCCCCTGCCCAATCCTACAGGTTGTGTTTGTTTACACAAGCGATAATATAATTCTAGATTATATTACAAAAATAGTAGCTGTCAGAAACAAAATAACTTATTCTTATTCGCATCCTATGGAGATAAGCGTATGATTCCCATCGCCGAGCATGGTTAAACCAAACTGCTCTCAAAACAAGGTCGGTTAAAACAAACTGTAATATTTTACGATTGAGAGCGGATAATTTGATTATTGGTTAATGCGAGGGAGTCTACTGTACTTGTATTTCTACATTCTATTACCACCCAACTTCCCTGTTTTTTTTTTTTTTTTTTTACTTTTGGGGAAAAATAAGTTGTATCAGCATAATAGACTTGCTATCAAATAATGCTGTCAGCCAAGTCACTCTTCATCAGAATCAACAGACATTTGATAACCAGCAGATTTGTGTGCAATATAATATTTTTTATGTTATGCTTGTTTTATCATTCCTGCAAATTTCATCACCCATACTACGATTTGGAAAATTACAACAATTAAAATTACCTTCTTTTATAACTTACCATCAATGCATATAGTCCTTTTACCATCCAAACAAGTTTCAAAGACATACATTAGAAAATATTTATTTTAGTCTTGTTGACAAAACATCCAACACCGTCTGCTATCAAATGTCCATACTGTCAGGCTTAGTTGAAACCTCACTCTGTTCATTGTAGTTTACAAGTTCACGTCTATGTTTATGAGCTGAGAAGTACAACGCTCCGCCAAACCGGTTCCTGTGCAGTTGCTCTAGGGATTCATCTTGACTATCAGTAACCGCTGCAGGAGTAGGTTCTTGCATTGACCTCCCTGAATTTATTACTATCAATGTCGGCAGAACGTCTGCGACTATTCCATCATTAGCTACAATGATGAGACCTAAGTCTTCATCGCTTGTGTGCATCGTATTACTATCCTCCTGAGTCCAAGTACCAGTGTTTGGCAACACGGACAATATTCGCCTCCTTAGATAGTACCTATGGTAATCTCTGTCGTACCTGAGGTATCCGCTGGTTATTGCTCTTTGAAGCAACCGGTTCATCCTTAGTTGTAGGTAACTACCGTATAACGTTCTCCATCTGGTTCTAAACCGGTCGAGGGTTACTCCACGGCCTGTGTCCAAGTTTTCCATTACGGACAGCAGTTGTCGCATAGTTCTGGTAAGCATTTTACTAAGAATTTCAAAACGGATAATTTAAAAACATAAATGCAAGGGCTAAATGTCTAGACTATCATGATTTCTATGGTTACTTGAACCATTTAATATAATAAGTATAGGACACTAACTTCTGACTTCAACTAATTATCTACAGGGCAGTTTTTGAAGTTTTAACTTCCATCATCAATCTGATTCAAGAGAGTATTTTTCTTATTACTTTTTTCAATTAGAACTGATGAGGGAATTTTAGATATACAGTATGAGAATGCAGCTCTCCTCTGATTACTAAGTTGAAGACAGGGGAGTAACCGACACTGATTTGTTATTTGAAAAACCAGCTTTTAGGCTGTATAAAAAATAAATAAATCAAACCTTTAAATAACCGATAGAATTAGAAATCAGCCAAGATGTCAGTTATTGCAGATAGATACTCGATATGAAAGCAGTCTTACTTGTCACTAACTAAGATGGGTATTGCAACCATTCATTTTGTAGTGCAAGAATGGATAAATTATGATTGTACGATGGATATGAACATGAAGCATTCATTGTGTGTGAAGTTTTATTACTAGGGATCAAGCTCAGTCGTGTCCAGTTTCAGTTTCATACCATTAAACAACCACTTACATTTGCCTTGATCAATCTGGCAACCTGTCTAAAATCTGCAAAACAACTGAATAGAAAAACAAATCTGTATGTAGATTTACTTTGTTGTGGCAGTGTATTGTTTGGTTTGTAATCCATTCACTTGTTTTGCAAAAAAATGAAATTAACTCCTGACAATGCTAATTGCCTTTCTGTGCCTACTATGAGGCCTTTTTTGAGAGAGAGAGTCTAAGAGACCTAACTGTGGTAAGCAGCAAGCAGCTCAGCTCTAGCCTATTGTGCAGCCTCATTCTCCATCAAATTTCAGATCCTTGAAGAACCACGATTACTCTTTATTCTTTAATATTTTCTTAGCTGGCAAATTTGGCCACGTTTTTCAGCACTAATTGGACAAATGGGGATACAGTTCGGTGACATGGTACATGACCACATTTAAAATCCTAAGTTGGTAGCCTGTTTTAACATTGTCTTTCCTCCTATAGGCCTAAAGATTTTCCAGAACACCTTGCAGGGCTCCCTATACTTACCATCTGACTTATTTTAGGCCAAAGTGTTTGACACGGAAGAGGTCAGCAGTGATTACGAAGAATACATTCTAAGTCGGATTTGCAGTCAAAAGTTTAACGAGCTGTGTGATTCTACGCTCAAGATTCAACTTGATAAACCACTCAGAGATTGGCTCACCAAGGAGACGGGACTCGACGGAAGTACGTTGGCAGAGTTTGTATCACTGGCTAGGATGCAGGTGTTACAACTGGACTCAAGTGATCCTTGTCAATTTTTATACCCTGGTTATCAAAGACTCAGGCTAAACTGGTTGAAGTTGAAAAATATTTTATGACATATTTTTGTTATTAAAGTGGTTTATATGTTTTTATTTTAAGACTCTTCAATTGTTATTGAATGATGTATAGTTTATTGGTTCCATAATCCCTATCAATGGTGTAGTAGGGCAGAACACATGGAATATGCTTTCTCCAAAAATCTAATGTGATGAATAGGGACCTCTTGTCGGGAATTTTTGATTTTGATTTATATAGATATATATTTGAATTCCTTATTAAATTCCGAATCACTTGGTGCAAGTGCCATGTATCTACGATTTTTTTTGTTAAAGTTATAGGACTTTAAAATTTTGTCATGTAAAAGGGTTGTTTTGAGAAAAACCATTTTGAAAATTTCAAATAGGCCTACGCATAAAATAGTTTTTTTTTTTATTCAAGAAACTATTTTGGTATCAAAAGAAAGCGTATAATGTCCTCTTTGGAGGCAAAACCAATTTTTGTCTTAGCTCCCGGTAGTTTTCATTTAAATAATTGTTTTAAGCTTGTCATAAAAATCACATTTCAGAAAAGTGACCGGCCCTGTGTTATTTCTCCATAAGATAAGAAAAGGTACCTCTCTTGTCGGGACCGCAAAATTTGTGAGATACTTTGTTCTCCGTACACTGTGCTTTGTTGTAGTTCTCTAAATTTCGTCTAGAATGCAGGACAATTCATTTTTTGGACTAAAGTCTGTTTATAAAGTGAATATTAGAAATGGGACCTCTTGTCGTTATGGCGAAATAACATAGAGCGACAAGAGGTACCTTTTCTCAGACCGTGCAGAGGCTAACAAAATGATCTATTTTGATTGTTTACGTCTTCAATTCGATATTTTAACAGATACTGTCCTGTTTTATGATAAATGAGCTATAACAATCGATAAAAACATAATTTCGATATTTTCAACATTAATTACTTATGTCGGCCGTACTGAAAATTTTGCATCGCCGACAAGTGGTCCCTTTTCACTTTCCAAATCACATATATAATACGCTAAGTAGATTTTTGTAAACAGAACTACTCCCTCATTTTTGGACCGATTTTGATGATTAAAGTTTCAAAAAAATGGCCCTAATCTGTAGTTTTGCAAAGTGTTTTTAATTTTTTTGAAATCTTTATTATTTTGGGCAGGATCTTCCATCAAAGTTTGGTTTGCTCCCATAAGATTAACATGGGGAATCTATATATTTAATTGGAAACTTTGTCTCCACTAATTTGAGAGAACATTTACGAAGAAATCCCAATGGTGGCCTTCTTGAGTTGGTCACCCTGAATATCTTCAAAATCATAAGCTCACATTCAACACCCTCTCGATAAATATTTTATCTCAAATCTTGAGGAAACTTACCAGGAAAAAAGTAGGCTCATAGGTTAAAAAAAGTCAGTTTGAAACCAATATATCTTTGTTCTCAAAAATCCATAAAAAATTCCCATTTTAAGGTTTTTTGACAATAGTGTCATGGCGCAACAAAATGGTAACCCAGACCAAAATAACAAGTTTGATTTCAAAGCTGTATTGAGATGTTCCTGAACAAAGTCTACTTCATTAAGGCGTTGACGACGGCCTTGGCATTGAGAGACTTGAGGTCGGTGTAAGTCTGACCTGTGCCGACAAACACTATAGGCTGACCAGTGATGTAGGTCATAGAGATGGCGGCTCCGACCTGCGGAAGAAAATTATAGATTTTTAGTCTCAGAGCTTAACAAAACTTAAATTAGGCAGGCTACACAAAAGAATGTATTTGTCCAGAATTGTTCTATGGAGCCGCGTGGAAATCAAATGTAAAAGAAGAAAGGATATTGGTAGTAAAAAAAAAATTATTCTTAGAAAAAATTATAGACCAATTAAGGAGGTAGGAGAGTGTAAAAGAAAATACAAAATATAACTAGACTTAATAAGGATTCAGATGTAGTATGTGTTCTTAAATGCAGACGGATTAGATCAGCAAGGCATGTTTTGAGTTTTGAGAAGAAGGAATATCAATAATCTCAAACATGTATTAAAAAAGAACCCTGAAGATACACCATCTAAAAGAAAAATCCAAAAATTGCTGGTCTCAGGTTATAGCATCTGCGACCTACTCACCATTTGACCTTTGAAGCATCGATTTTAAAACCCATTAATTGAGCACTTCACAATAAAATTACATAAGTTGACTTTTCTTAGCTAGGTTAGCTATTAGAACGATTATGGTCGGTGATCCGACACCTTCCACATCCCATAAAAGTCGGATCAACTGTCAACTACACATTAACGTCCCTTACCTTGTCATCAATGGTGTCGAACTTGGTGAGCACGATGCCGTCAATGACATGAGGGTTTGTCGAGTCGGAGTAGTCGGCCATTGCCTGGTTAAATTTGACCAGCTGATCTACAGCCTCATTGCCTACCAACGCCTCCCCCACAAACAACACCAGGTCTGGTTCATTCACTTTCACCAGCTGATTGAACAATAAGAAACAATTGTTATTTGCCCTCAGAGTTTGAAAGAAAAAATGTCTTTATGAAAAATTGCTTCAAGCTCTCAGAGAATTGTAGCTTAAGTATCATTGCATGGACTGCTGTATGGTAATTGAATTTTTGTCATTCTTCTTTTAATAATGCATTTAATGTCATATAGGATTAAAATTATTAAGTAGATATGAGTATGATGAATAGGTACCTACTGAGTTTAAAATTGACATCTCATTTTATTTTCTATGTTCTGAGAATTCTTACACAAATAAACAGACCAATAATAAATTAGGAAAATTACTTAACTTTTTAAAAATAATAATATTCATGAATAAAAAATAAACTAACTTGAGTATGCAAACGCTCAAAAGGTATTCAAAAGAAATATAAATATTTGACAGTAAAATCATCTTAAAACATTTTAGGATATTAACCTCACCAACTTGACAACCGGTAACTCGACAGTCAACCGCTGACAAGGTGCACGTCTAGCTGGCTTTGTGTTACTATTGTGTAAGACTTTTCAAGTTTTGATTTTTTATTATTTGTCATTTCGTAGAAAATTATTCCCTCAACATATAAAAATACTCATGTGAGTATTCAATCTATTTGTTGAAATTAGTCTGTTATGTATTAATTTATTAAAACCCATTAAAAATGTCAATGCTCAACAACCCCAAACACGACAACCTCTGGGTCCACAAATAGTCGAGTTAGTGAGGTTTTACGGTATTAGAGAAATAGTGTCAGTTTAATAAGTCATAATCTCCTACGGTTACGGCAACATTGTGTTACAATTTCAAGATTTAAAATAATCGAAGGTTAATCAATATTCAAACACACACAAAATTCGTCACAAACACTCAGCAAACTTCTGATGAGTTTGACTGGATTTGCAATAAAAAAGTTATTCATAAAAATTGGCCAATCAATTTATGGTGTGAAATATAAATGACAAAACCAACCTTGGCCAAAGCTCTCATCAAAGGTTCGTTGTCCTGCATCCGACCAGCAGTGTCTACAAGAACAACGTCAATGCGAGAGTCTCGGGCAAAGTTGATGGCTTCCATCGCAATGCCTGCTGCGTCTTTACCTGCTCAACACAATAGAAATTATGTAGTTTAAATCATAAACTAGAGCTGGTTGTAGAAAGGTATATATTTACAAAAATGATTTCAATGATTGATAAAGAAGAAAAAAAAATACAAATTGCAAGATCTGGTGACTGGTGAGCGAATTTAATAAATTTGTCTTTAGCCTTTTGTTATGTAGGCCTAATCAACCAAAAGAGTAAAAAAGTTTTAACTACATTCATAAATACACAGCATTAATAAAGGATTGTATTGCATAGATTTAGCAATGTATGTAAATAAAATAGTTCTTATTTCTGTGACTCTATTCATGTATGTATGTACAGCTTGAATAAAGATGATTTGATTTGATTTGAACAGGCAATCAATGACTATACAAGTTTACCACAATCAAGTAATCCACCAAACCAAGCAATACATATTACAAAAATTTGGGTTTGATGAAAATTTAATTTGTTTAATTTAAAATTATGCTGGATGGTTGAGAAAGACTAGTTGAGAGAAACTAAGTTTAAAGAACAAACCAACAAAGATAAAATTTTTATTGAAATACTCAAATAGTTGTAGCAATAAAGTAGGTTAGCAAATTCACTGCCAAACATTTTTCCTAAACCGAGGATGACAAATCAGGTAGGAATTTTAATACAACAATGTGATTGACACTGACAAATTTATTCATTCAAGCAGGGTTATTTCTAGGTATAAACTTTCACTTATTATGAAGTAGACATCCCATCTATATGGACCAGCTGTAGCATATTTTCTATTAACCCCTTGGGTTCTAGAGGAATTTATTTTGGTATTTTCCAAAAAGTGCTAGAGCTTTTTACTAGGTATGTCCAAAAAGTGCCAGGCTTGTCACGGTGGCAAAGTCTAGTGAGCAAAAATAAAAATTGGAACGGTATAAATATTCATCCCAAAAGTGTCAAGGAACGATATATTGTGCCTCAATCGAATGAAATCATTGCTGTTTTGAAATAACAACCGAGATATGCCCATTCAAACTCACATGATCGAAAGTCGCACCAGCCCGATATCTCGTTGCAATGTACTGTACTTTTCGGTAAGATAACCAACGAGCAACGACAATATATTGTTGTGAAGTATTTTTCGGATGTTCCCTGCAAAACGATGTATCGTTGCGTGGCACTCAAAGGGTAAAAAAAATCTGTTGAATCAGTCACTCACATCGTGTGCTACAATTCTAATTACATTTTCACCCCTAATTTTTGTTACTGAAATAGTTTATGTGTTATGAGAAATGCTACCACTTATACAATATTGACTTTTCAGTTTGTGGTTAACAATGTGGCGTATTCAACAGTTAGCAGTTATTTACATTGATCAGCACACTCTGTCAGTTGCACAAATCATTTATGTCTATTTTCATAAAACATCTGGCTTCAAATTTAACAAGGAGAACGTCTAATCAATAAACCGCCATTGCTCACCGTATCCTTTCTCAAACAGCTGGACCATCTGTTGGTTGTTGTGTCTCTCAGCAGGATGTAAAGCGTTGAGGTGACGAGTGTGGGTCCGCAGCTGCTCCACAGCACCAGCTCTGAACGTGTCACACGCAGCAATCAGCACACGCAGGTTGTTCTCAATTAGCCAGAAACAGATCTGTAACAAACGTTAATAGATATCGTTGACTTTTGAATACTGAAGTAAGCACCCATCTATGTGGACCAGCTGTAGTAAATTTCTTATTCAAATAGAACATTAGTCGAATGAGCCCCTCATATTATTTGCTACTGTCTAAGTTTTCTCAATAAGTTATTGAAGGAAAATTAACATAAGTGAAAGAAATTAAAATTAATCAACCATCAGGATTGTTGCACAGAATAAAAAACTGCTAACGATAAGCTATTTGTATCACTATTGTTGTTTTGGATATAGGTATGCATACACAGTATAACCTTGATGTTGTCCAGTCTAAGCCACAATGGCGACTGAAACTGTATGAATGGCTGTATGACTACAAAACCAACAGTGTTGGCCCTCCCACTTCACAGGTGGAATACTAGGCGAGTAAAACTGTTCAATACAATCTATAGTACTTGTTATATAGTCCTTTCACAAAATTTAACGATTTAACGGGAAGTTTTCGTGGGTTTCACACCACTTTTTTAGCTGATCAACTGTCGGCTGTAGTTTCAAAGTTAGGGTGAGGTGGAGGGGATCGCTTCCCCTCAAACCGCCTACATTTTGTGGACAGAGTATAATATAGTGAAAGTCTTTTACCTTGGCCAAGTTTGTAGACTTCCCGACACCATTGACCCCACAGAAGCACATAACAAAAGGTTTGCCTTGCTTCTTTGCCTCCAAAGCATCTCGTAGAATGTCCACTCTTCGTCTCGGCGACAAAATTTGCACCAAAGAGTCAGTCAGGGTGGTCTTCACTGTAGAAGCGATTGTCTCAAATGTACCAATCACCTACAAAAATACCAACAACATTATAAACTTTGGTGATTTAGGCCAGTTTATTAGTGGAAAAATAAAAAAAAATACAATTAGGAATTAATGACCTTTGATAGAGGAGAACTCTTAACCCCTAAACTTTTCTACACTTCTAAACTTATGTAGTTCTTGATAAGAAGATAAGTTTATTTTTATTTACTCAATAGAAAGTTTAGATATGATGTAAACTCCTTTTAATGTAAACTCCTTTTAAGGCCAATTCACACACATCAGTCAAAAAATTACTCTTTTTAATGGATTTTCTATTAAACCTATCTACACTCATCAGACGCAGATCCGTCAGTCAGTCAATTTCAGATTTCTTTTCACCGACATTTTTGGATTGTTCGGATGCCTGAAAAACGTGTTTGAGGTTACAAAATAGTTTTTTTTTTTGTTATTTAAATTATTGTGCTTATATTTTAAGTAATGTTTGTAACAATCAACAAGATGGACGGTGAAAATTTGATAAAATATTGTGTTTTGATTAAAACTTCTTGACTATAACATTAATAAGGTGATGGAAGACTGACTAAAACCAACAGACGGACAGTTACTGAGGAATTGCGGATGCAACTGAGACTGAACTGTGACTGGGATGTAAGGGAACTATGACTGGACTGATGTGTGTGAATCGATCTTTAATCACATCTATATACGATTGGCAGGGCTTTTAAACAAGAGGGTTTAAAAACTTAGTCTTCATTTAAAACTAAACTATTGACCTGTGCAAATTAAGAGCTTATGGTTTCAATATACAAAGTACGACAACCATAAAATGGGGACAATCCTAGACCCAGTTTCTACGGTGTAGGTCAGGTAAAAACAGCGGAAGGATTGAATAGCTTGACTTGTTGGTCGATATGAATCCCTTGTGAGAAACAAGAAAATCAGAAAAAACAGCAAAACAAAAAATTATTTCACAATAAAATGCTTCCTCATCCATTTGGTGAAATTTTGACTGTTGAAAACACTGACATTAAATTGGGCATAACAAAGACTTTCATAATCAAAACTAACTTTTCCCTCCAGTTTAGTAGCTACGGAGTTGCACAGCTTGAGGGCAATGTCGGCTGCAACATTCTTGGCAATCAGATGATCTCGCAGTTTCTCCAACACTGGTTCCATGCTCTCTCTGGACAGACTCTTTTGACCAACCAGTCCTCTGTAACATCAATGTGTCATTAGCACAACAAATCACACATTGCATGTTTTTATTTTTATATTTTACGAACTAATGATAAATTGCTGGTTGTCTAAGAATTATTGATTTATATTAACTCTTCGAGGTTCCTTCACTCACATTACCTGAACATAGAGAAGACGCCGGAGGATTTAGAAGCTGTTTTGTTGTTTTGAGAACCCATTTCTTCGTCCTCATCATCATCCTCTTCTTCTTCTGAACTCTCAACTTCCAGGTCTTGGATTCCTCCAACCATCTTTCCCACCAGCTTGAGGAACATAAAAAGTTAGTTGGATTTTGTAGTTTAGTAAATTATATTTTAAAAGTTAGAAAAGTCGTGTAAGTGAATACCGCAAGTAGACTAAGATACCAATTTCAGATCTGAAACCAATTTATATGTTTCTCTCTTGGTGCATAGTGAATTTTACCAATTTGTACCTTACTCTGGGGTTTTACAAGACTAAAAGGTGTTAACATATACATCTTCTATTCAGTTATATACAATTAAAAGTAAGAACAAAATCAGAAAATAAAAATTTACAAGACTCTTAAGTTACCGAACTTAAACAATAACGTTTTCCCAGGCTCAAATTCGGCTAAACCCTACTGTTTGTTTTAGTTTTCAATTAAAATACAGTAACTTTTCCCCCCAACAGGTTGTACAGATTTGCAGAATTTTAGTGCATTAAAGTCACTCACGTGGGTGTCAGCTTGTATTTCGTGATCTTCCTGAGGTTTATCCTTGGTCCTGTCCAGATCTACCAAATCCTTAGTGTTACCACTCAAGTCCCACTTCCTCGGCTTCTTGCCTTCCTTCGCAGGTTTAGGGCTCTTCCTACAGAGGTAAAGCCATGTCCCAGTGAGTAAACAAGTTTTTGTGGTTAAATAGGTTTGAATATAAATAAGAGTATTTTTTTATAAAATTAAAATTGTTGAACAGGTCAGGTAAAAAAACTTAAACTATGTACATATATCGGAAAATCGTATACACATAAACTTTATCTTAAACTAAATAGAACTGAAGCAAAGGTTATTAAATTTTATTTGAATATTTGCATGTGTGCAAGGAGAGGACATAGTCTAATTCATAAAAGTTCTTAGAATCAGACGATTTGGAATTTGGACACGTATAGTTAATTCAAGGACAAAAGGTGACAAGGAATATAGAGACCCTGCTAAGACACGGCCAAGAGGAAACCCTCTTAAGAAAAGGTGAGATGATATACCTTCATAGGATAGGAAGGGGAAACGGGAGAGAAGAAGTGAAGAGAGAGTAACTGGAGAGGAGGATGACGTCAGTTGATTCAGTAGGCCAAAAACCCATGAAGGATTTTAGAGCCAATAGAGTAGGTAGGGCCTAAGTGGAAAAGGAATTAATTGACATGGATGTCTTTGAATCTTCAATTAATTTTTCTAGAAGAAATTCTGGTATGGCATAAATTTAGCAACGCTTTAAAGTGGTTTTTGGGTTTAAAGTCAATAAGACATTTTATTAAAAACATCATGATTGAACTTTAAGGCATGGCAGTGACAGAGAAAGCATTTTTAATTTGAAAAATACAGGTGGAGTTTATAATAAATAGTCCAAAATTTGGTGTTGTAGCATAAAATAAGCACCATGAAAAATAATTTTAAGTCAATGATTTTCTCCACCATAGGGAATCTTTGTATTGTGTCAGTTATTTACATTTTTAAGAGTGTTTTAAACTTATGTTAAACTAATGTGTTTAAACTATTGTATCAACGATTTCAATATCTACTCACGGTTTGCTCTTTCGTGCATTAGGTGAGCCCAATTTCTGAGCCAGCTTGCGGCGGTTCTCCATTAAAATATCTTCTGAGAGCAAGTCCCCATTGGTCGCCACCTCGACTTCTTCCACCACTTCTTTCTTCACAGGCTCAACAACTTTCACTGTAATAACACATGAAATATAGTATTTTAAAGTTGAGAGATTTTTGCATAAGCAGCCTTTAAATCTGTTATTTCACTAGGTTTCACGTAGGTTTCACTTTCCTAAAGTGAGGCTTGAGGCTGGAAGAAAGTCTTTTTCTTATTTCGGCCCGCAGTTGTACAATGGCCTCCCTCAAGAGAACAAGTGTTCGAAATCGTACAACACATTCAGGGCCGCAATGAAAAAAAACAAATGTAAAATGTATGTTGTAATTATTCTGTTGTAATTTGTTTGTATATACTTATGTAAATATATTAGGATAGTTTAGATTTAGTGACTTGAGTTAGTTTGAAAACCATGTATTATGAAACTCGCTCGTAAATAAAGGCCTTTTTATTTTATTTATTTTAAATTCTCTGGCTATCTGTCTAGGCTTATTGCATAACATAAGGACAGTTTCCCTATTGTCAAGAGTTTTATTTTCCAACGAGTCTTTTTTGTTACTAGACAACGTTCTTGGTTCATTAACATGGTTTATGGTGAGGAAAAACCAAGAAAACCACTATTTATTTATATGTTAAAAGCCCAGTAATCACCGAGGACTGTTAGGATCAGTTTCCAGCTCTCAGAAAGAGCTTTTAACTTTCTTTAATAATGAAACCAGCAATTTCTGATTACTAAATGGGTTCTATAACCACTACCTTACTACATATTAAAATCACAACAAATGTAGAAAGAAGTATGTAAACAGGTAAAGTTGTCTGGTATATTTTGATTCGGGTAATTTTAAGTTTAAATTTTTGATCATTCAAATTCTGACAGTAAAAGTGTCAAACATTACACCCAGAATGTGAATCATTATGTTACAGTAGTATATAATTTGATATTGATTGAAAGACTATAATCATAAAAGTCATTGCTTCTAAAGTAAAGCCATACAAGTGACGGACGTTTAAAAGGTTTCTACCTTTTTCCACTTGTAATCTGTTTAGCAAGCACTATTGCTAGAACACAATTCAAACTCTGAAACCAGTTTAAACTCAAACTACTATAAAAATAAACTCCTTCCAACCATTTTGAATACAACTAGACCTAATGTGATTTTCAAACTTGATTTTTTTTTCTCAAAAATATTAATTTTATTCTAAATGTTAAGGTAAAGTAATATTCACAGAATTTTGACACTAGGAAAATAATTTTTAATTGTAAAGCCTTGACACCCTTATGATATGAAGTTTTACGTTTACATAGTTGCCATACAAGGTAACATGTAGTTATTTCATACTGGACAAGTTCCCAACTCATGACAGTTCATCTTCATTACTAACAAATATCAAATGCTAATTGTTTATTTCTATCTATATACAAGTGTGTAAACATTCGACAAGTATCGTACGATTTTATTTTTGTTGTTTGTGTAATAAGTGAATGCTGCTGAGGATGGACTGATGTTTATTATGCTAGTAAATTATTTACGCGTTATCAGTTTTAAACATGTTCAGTGTGAAATAACTACAAATTTCCACCTTGTATGGCAACTAGGATCTTCCTCATCTTATAATTGAATTATTTGTAACATTTGTTCACAAAAAAGTTGACTAAGCAATAATTAATTTAAGCTCATTTTTGGTAATAGTAAGTTATTTAAGAGGTTATTGTGGACATATTCCATCACAATTTGTAAAAAAAAAACACAGTTTTCATGATGTTTTAGATTTGGAATCAGACCAAGTCCTCAAATGAAATGACCAAAACCAACTTGTCTCTTGTTATAGATTTTGGTCACCTCTTTTAACCTTGCATTTTCCCGTCCACATAGACTAACTGCCGGTGCGTGGATCGTATTCAGCAAAGCAAGGAGTGAGGAGTGTAGGTACAGTACAAAGGTGATCTGTACTGATAAAATGTTTGTGGCAGGGACCAGGATCCGTACCCACTACATCGCTGCCTTGGGCCCGAAGTTTGTGAAGCTACCAACTGAGCCACCAAACGCACTCAGATATTTTCCCACCTGAGGAAGGGATCAGTTTCCAGACCCCGGAACGTCATGAAAGCAGTTTTTTACAAATTGAGATGGAAAATGTTTGCAATAATCTATTTTGCAATAAACTTTGTCAAACATGGATTTATATTAGAAACATTTTATATAAAATACATTTGCTTTCTTTAACTTATCCTGGTAGTGTACCACAAACCTTTCTTCTTAGTTTCTTTCTCTTCTCCCTTCCGTTCAATCATGGACGCAACTGTTTTCTTTGATTTGTCAGACTCTTCGAAAGTCCGCATTTGTTTTGGAATGCGAGCTTGCTTAAGGCTCCAGTTTTGAGCCGCTTTGAGAACTTCAGAGTAGTTACTTTTGAAGTCAAATTCCTAGAATTCCATTCATAAAGTTACCTTTTTTCATCAAAATAGGCTATACTATGAGGTAGAGTTTTATGGAAGGTTATGGCAAGTGCTAAAGTCAACAGCTGCAAAATATTTGAGTGGAATGACTGAACATTTTGTTTTCCAAGAACTATTAATTAAAAGTAAGTTTTGACCAAGTCCTATGAAATGACAGGCAGGGTCTTAGAAAGGTTATTGCAGTATTTTTTTAAAGAACAAGCAACATAATTAATTTAAGGTGTATTTTAACTATGTAAACAGTGCTCAAATTCTGTCAGGATTATGATATTTCACATTTTTATTGTGGTAAGTTTTAAAAATCAATAACTTATTTTCATTTTGTAAAATATTCATGAATTGACATCATGATTAACATCTAGTGACAACAATGAAGATGTGTGACATTTCATAGATCTAATGATGGCTTTAATGTTGATATGATTTTGATAAGCTAATTGGAACTACAATCAAAACAATTACAGAAGAACGTAAAATATCAAGATGATGTTGACAATTCTGATCTGAACTAAAAGACAAACATCCATTTTTTAAATTTGTTTAACAAAAAAAAAATAGATAATTTGGTAATGTTTGATCATTAGCACGCATTTAAAGAAAGTTTTTCGGTCATAAGTATTATAGTTAAAGTCGGTACAGTTATATTGTTGATTTTATATGACTATAGGTTATATGGACCACTCATAATCAAATTAAACTTTGAGAATACATTATTTCAAATTTGCTTTAGGTTAAACTTTCCTAGGATTATAAAGCAAATTGTTGAGGGATAAAATGTAATGTCAACAATATTTTTAACTTTTGTTTTCTGTTATCTTAATTGGAAAAAGTGTAATTGAGGCTGTAGCTGCTAAATGGACCTATCTCGAAAACTGATGTTTTGAGATAATCGCTGTTAAAGTTTAGAGGTTATGTTTGGCGGTCTCCGTTGGCAGTCGTCTAAAGGGCCTGCTGACACCAGCTGACTTGAAGTGTCATACGAACAAAAAAAAGCTAAAATACACCATTCCAAATCATCAAACATTACTAGAAGACACGAGGAAGCAAAATAGTGATTCTCCTCTCAAAGAGCCTGTCCTAATGTTTTACACAAAAGGTCTATGTTAGATTATGTTTGGCTGCTGTCAGCATTTGGCACTCCTCCATGCTAAAGGGGCCTAGTGACACCAGCTGGCTTTCAGAATCATAGTAACTAAACAAACTGAAATACACCTTTACAAGTGATCAAAGATTATACTAGAAGATGTAAAGAAGCGAAATAGCCAATCTCATCTAATCAAATCAAATCATTTATTGTCCATAAACATAGGCCTATATATACAATGCATAGACAAAAGTCATCAGTGTCAAAATAAAAGTCATCAAAAGTCAGTTTTGAATGGCCTAGTAAAATAAAAAAGAATATGATTTCAATGTAGGCCTATATAAAAAAAATAAGAATCTGTAAGGGCCCATCTCGATTTAGGCCCCTTTAAAGCAGCTACAGGCTCAATTTGTTTAGCTGTTAGCTTGGTCATATTATTACAATACAAAAGATATAATTAACTACAAATTTGCTTAGCCTGCAGCTTAGCTGGAACGAGGTGTTTTCATTTTTATAAAATTTGTATTTGATACTAATAAAACTTAAGCTACCTACATACAAACATTAAAGCCGTTTTTTAAAAGTCCCTAATTTGTATACTGTCTCTCACCTGAAAATACCTAGCGTTCTGGAGATCATCTTTGTATTTATCTCTAAACTCTAGGTGGACATCATCTAGAAACTTGTCTATGTATGAGAGTTTGAGAATCTTCTGATAAGCGACCACAAACACCAGTTCAAACTCATTGTCAAGCTTATATTGTAATGTGAGCGATTGGTGATCAAAGGAGTTACTGCCTGATCTTTCCTGGAAAAGAAATTATTTCACTGTTATAAATTGTTTTTGTAGGCCTATAGATAATAATGATAACTGGCACAAAACCTGTAGATATGCTCAATACAAGTAGGCTACACGTCACACTCTTATGATTTTTTTAAAATTTGAACACTAATTTGCATCTAGATACCTTTTTGCAGACAAGAATTTACAATGTTTCAATATCTAAAGGACAGATGCAGGATTCAAACGTAAACTACCGGGTATGAGTGAAAAGTTTTAACAGTGCAATAAATATTTATGTGAAAGCACAAACAAACAAGACAGCAAGTTCTGGACAGTGAGCTTGGGACACATTCTCATACAACCACATAACCATAACAACTTAAACTAGGACATTTTTTATGGCTTTCAGTTTGCAGGTAAACATATCATCTGTGGAGCCGTGGAATTTTACTGTGGAAGGCGTAGAAAAGAAGCTTTGTTGAAGAGTTGAATGTGCCTGAAGTGTCGAGTAACGTGGAAACTAGGCCAAGTATTTCTAGTGCATCAAATTCACCATAGAACAAATTCCAGAGGAAAGAATGGTCTGCAGATTGTCTACAGTCACTCAGTCGAGGAAGGCCCATACCGATGCGAATATCTTCAATCGGTACTGCATAGAATTCATTTCCCAACTTTACGCTAATAGAGCGTAGAAAGCGAATCTGAATTTTTTCTACTCTTGATAAGTTATATATGGCTGATTTGATGTGGATCCCATATAACGCTGGATATTCCAGCACATGCCTTGAGTCATGTAGACTACAGAGTTCTCAGGGAGCATTAAAATCAAGTCCGTATCTACTACATCTAATGACAAAACCTAGAGCTTTAGAGGCTTTTTTGCAGATTGTATTTATGTGCTGGTCAGAGTTAAAATCGTATGACATTAAAACTCCTAGGTCTCGTATGGCACTCTTCCGAGGCAGGATGGCATGATTCATCAAGTAGAAGAAGTCAATACGTGGCTCGGTACGGAGATAAGATACCACAGCAGATTTTGAAATATTGATATCTATGCTGCCAGGCACCAGTTGTCGTTAAGCGCTTAAACATTGTTGAAGGGAGGATCAGTCCGCCTGAGACTTTACCCACTTGGAAACCTTGATATCATCGGCAAACAACACTGAGAGTCGATACAATCCACAACATCGTTAACAAATACTGTACGGTATATTAAGAAATGGACACAGATGAGAACCCTGGGGGACTCCTGAAACTGCAGGGAAAGGAATTGACTTGGCGACTGCAAACTTGACAGCTAAGGTGCGATCTTTAACATATGATTCAAACCATCTCAACAGGTTGATGGTTGTGGCTGATGCAGTCGAATGCTTTACTAAATTCAATATTACAGTATCCTTCTAGATAATATTGTAAGAGCCAGTTGTATTTTTTTTATTTTTTTTATTTTGTTCTAATATTTCTTGGAGAGATGCGTATAACGTGCGTTGTAAGTTAAGTTTTAAGAGCTGAAAACTCAAAAATGTGACTGACCTGCACGGGGTGAACGTGGATCAGAGTAGATAGTCTATAAGTTAGAACGGGTAAGTTACAGTTTCTTAACTGGGCTAAGTTAGCCTATGCTAGCTAATTTTGAATGAATCTATCGAATTGAAAATATTGATTAATAATCGATATTTTTTAATATCTCTATTATAAAATTAAACTATTATAACCTAACCTAACCAACCAAACTTGCTGATGGTGAAAAACCGCATGAAGGTTTACTAATCGAATCGATAGTTTCAATCGATAGCATAGCCCAGTTAAGAAACTGTACCCGTTAGAACTATTTTTACAATCAAAGATGTAAAAATTATCATTTGCCAGTTCAGATAGCCTAGTAACTTAACAATGGGCTATACGCTTAGGCCTAAGGCCCCCAAGGCCTAACATTTTAAGTTCTGTTGCCTACATATTTTTTTAGCTAAAGGTTACACAACAGTCGGTAGCTTTAGGCACCAGGTACTAACTTAATTAACTTAGTTTCAAGGGTCTAGACCCAAGACCCAAAACACATGACATAGCCTAACTGTTGTGCTATTTATTGATCAATATGCAAAACATAAGCCTAGGCTACCATTCTTGTTTACCAACCTGCAGTATGACAGATTTGATTAAGGCATTTACTGATGATGTAAATATTTGACTTGTGCCTTGAACCTGAAAACACCAAAGCACAATTCCACCTTTACTAAAAATTGTAAATAAATCCAACATAATGACAGAAACACTTGACAAACAGACACAACACAACACACTTCACTGATCACTCACTTACACACACAGCACACAGCTGTTCGACTTCCACGCTCACGATGCTGGCTGCTACGAATAGGATTATAGAACAGCAACATCATCCACACGTCATCATGTGTTACTTCAGTAAAAAGTCGTCAGAGCTCAGTAGTGTTCAAAATCAGACGATTTCTGAAGTCATGTCTACAGACGGGACAAACAAAAATATAAACGAAACTAAAATAGTTCCAAGTTAAATCGTTTTTCCCATCTCAAATTTCAGACAACCACATATATTTTTTTAAATTTATTTCACTCTAATTATATTTTGTGTCATTATCTTAAGTGGAAAGTATTAGTTTAATATTTTGAGTTAATAATTAGCGCATTAATCCCATTTCTTGTTTGAGGATTGTATTGCGTAGGCAGGCAGCCATTGAGCCATTACGCGATAGGCCCTAGCCCGCTCACATGACCTGTAGTTTGTTCCCGTGATCAAGTTTTTAAGTTTTGGGCAAATTCAAAACTTAACTCCTGTATTCTCATGGATATGATCGATCACAGCCTCGATACCAGGTACATTTTTGTTACATCGATCCTCTCTAAGAGTGATAGTGATATAATTTCGTAGTAGACCTAGGCTAGCTGTCAAAATTATCTTGCCTAGGGCCAGGCTTTATTGGACTGCTCTGTAACCTAGCCTAATGTTGGGTTTAGTGATTTGTATAGTTATTAATTATTTTTAAGCACAACTTTGTTTATCAATAGTGTCACAAGCTCATTTAATCTAAGTTTGCTAATTAAATTTTGCCTAAGTTTATGGCCTAAGTTAACTTAGGCTAAGTTGTTTTGACAGAGATACAAAATCCAGGCTAGACTTCTCTCTTTAAATTTAATAGCCTAGCCTAAGTTAGTCTACTCTAGAAATAATGTTTCAAATAGTTTTCTGACCTTCGGAAGAATTTATCGTGACTCTTAGGCCCGGTTCACACGAGCGACATAACTTAGGCTACCGTACCTACTTTGACTAGGCTGTGACTAGGTAAGCCCGACCGGGTAGCGGACCACAGGATCAAATGGAGCCGTTCACAAGAGCATAGGATGTCGACTAGCGAGCCGCATTTTAGCTTGGTGCCCCAAAACATAGTCGGGGCCCCGCTTCACAGTCACCTGGTCTAGCAGCGTAGTAGGCTAGTAGGTCTACACATAGCCTTATGGTAGCGTTCACATGAGCGGTTTAGGTAGTCACACTGCAGCTCGCATTCTTCCCTTTGTTCTCATTGTGCATTAGTGATGGACCCGAACGGTTTTGATATCGATATTTTCATCTAAGTTTACTTAGTCCGTGGACATGGTGCTCCTGTGAACCAGTGTATACTGTGGTACGCTACCCAGTCGGGCTTAGGCTACCTAGTCACAGCCTAGTCAGCTAGGTATGTCGCTCGTGTGAATCGGGCCTTAAGTTAAGCGTGCAAAGTGTGCGCAACTTACTTTTCATCAACTTGTGAACATGCAATTGAGAACTTAAGCTAGGTCTGTGGTCTAGACAATTTCTAATTAGGTAGGCCTAGACTTGTCAGAACGTTTTGATAGGCTACTCCTTACATGATTTTTCGATTGTAACTTATTGTCTCACACACAGCCTTCATAATCAAGATGAGCTCTAGGATTGCACTCATCTTAGAGCCCAGGCCTAGATGTTTTACCTTGTAAATAACTTACCTTATGAATCTGTTGGTCGATAGCCCATGGTTTTGAACTTTATCCGGTAAATTAAAATTATTCATCCCAGACACCACGTTAAAATAATGATAAGTTAACTTAAGATTTAAGTTTAACTTAATTTCAACTTAAATTTATTTCCATAACTAAGTTAGACCATAACTTTCTAACTTTACTTAAGTTAAGTTACTTAACTTAAATTAAAATGGTTGTCTTTTCCAGCAAAAGTCAAATAAACAAGGGTTCTTTCCTTTTAAAGGGAACCTTCATTATTGATGATTGTTTTTTGATATAGGCCTATCGATATTTTATTTTTATAAAATACTGTATTATTTATCGATATAACTATAACTGCCTGTCAGCAATAAACTCACATATATGAATGCGGTTGTAGGCCTAGCATTTAGATGTTAGGCCTACTTATTTCTGGAGGTTTCTTTTAAAAATACCCACTCAAATAAGTATGACTCCACAATTACCAAACCTTTAAAAAAAGTTCTAATCTAATGATTTTATTGCTGTACGATACAATAACATTAAAAATCGACTGAAGAATTTGTTTTTAGTGATGACAAAGATGTAGAAAGTGAAATGAACGACCTAGTTACAGCCCAGCCGCTGACAATTGTCGAAGAAGATCCATTATCTCCTGACGGTTCTGGCTCTTTACCTCAGGGACTGCTAGACAACAGCGAGGAAGAGATCTCCTACCAGTTACGTTCTGCGGATGGTGGTAAATTTGCAAAACTTATGCTTTTAGAATTTGTTTATTCATACTGATTATTAAAAAGGAAGACTTGTAATTTGTCTTAGGCTACAATAAGTTTTGTTCCCTAAAAACTGACTCGAGAATACTTATAAGGGTTTCTTTTAAACGCATAGGCCTAAAGATTGATAAGTAAATGGTTAAAATTACCTGTTGTATTTGACGAGTGATCCTATTACTTGGTTATGCGACTTCCAGTTTTGAGCCTACCAGTTAATTTTAAAGCAAGAAACCAATTTTCTTTTTTACTGGGCTACAAAAGTTTTATCACAAACATTTAACAATTATATATAAAACCCCATGAGCTACTCAAAATCATTTATAACACTATAAAAAACTTGGCCAAATTCAAATAGTACTGATCCGGGCTTGTGATTTAGCTAGCAGAGATGAATGCCTTTTTTTGTAGTCATGGCTTTTAAAATGTATATAATACAGCCTAGGCTTATTTTAAAAAGAATATTCCAAATCCAGGTCTTAGGATGTAATTTAGATTGGAATTTGGTTGTTATTGGAAAGCATCGATGGCTTTTATCAACTGGTTTCAGATCAAACGTTTTACAACACTAACATTTAATAGGACCCTATTCCTTGTAGTCAAGCCAAGAAAAGTCATACTTCTAAGTTTTAACATAATTTCAGTATCTTAAAAGTTGCCAGGAACACTATAGAGCAAGTGTTCTGATCCTGCCATAGGCCTACTGTACAAATTTTAAAACTTATCGATATGTTCGATTCTTCAAGTTTCCCAGAAATAGCTCAAGTTCAGCGGAGTACTGAAACACTCGCTCGAAAACGCCACTTGAGTACTTACACACTCCTAAGAGATATAATGTTCAGTGTTTTGATATTGTTTGGAAAAGTTTTGATCTTGAAAAATTAACACTTAAGCTTTTTCAAATATTCTTAAGTCATTCATGTAAAGTCATCATGTAAACAAATCATAGTCCATTAACAGCGATTCTTACCTACATGACACAACTAACTAAACTAAATTTTGTTCCAGTTACATTCAAAGTCATATCAGTCGCTGGAGAGGAAATAGAGGAAGTACCTCAAATTATCACCACAAACGGTTCCACCTACAACGGCTCTGAGGGACAGACTGTTCAAGCCACGGCTCTAGTCAACTCAGTCAATGGTAATTGGTAACAATGAGTAGTGTGCTGGTGTTCTTGGCTCCTCCGATTGACTTACCTATTACTATTAACCCTGCTTTCCTCATATCTATTTTAAATCTATGTTTTAAACTAGAAGTGTAGTTTAATGTTATGATGTGGAATTAAGCATAATTTAGAGGCGAAAAATACTATTTGTTCACATTTGTATATATGTGTGGTTGTGTGTATCCGTAAACATTATAACTCAAGTAATTTTGCTCCAATTTAGATTAAACTTGGCATGAAAGGGTAGAGCTAGATGAACTTAAATGAGTTTGTAAACCAGTAGGATTTTGACATTTTTCAAAAATTGTTTTTTTTATCTTTACTTAAAATATGGTAATGCCCTCATTTCATCACAGCCATCGTGTAGAGCTTAAAAAAAATCAATTTTATTCACTGAACCATTGTACAATTAAAGGTTACGGGAAAATACTGTATTTAAAATGCCCTCATGTTGGGGAAAAAGTAAATTGTTGTAGTTTGCTTGTTTATGGATATATTTTAAATTTTAATTAAATTTAGGAAATACATTTATTTCATCCTATACTATTAACATTTGATTCGATTGAAAAGAACACTTTTTCCCTTCCTCGTAGTAGTAGGCCTAAACCTAAACTGTACATGTTAATCAATTATTTAAAAGGTGAATAATATGACTTGTCAATGGAAATAGTTAAAATAGTTAGGAAATAGTTAAAATCCAATCATTCAAATTGAAATTTGCTTAGTCTACAGGTTTACTGATACAGTATTATTTTGATTCAGTAGGTTTTTGCCTAACTTTAAGTAAATTCATATTTTCGGGAGTTAAGTTTTGCGGAAATAAAAAAAGGAACGATTTAATTGTGAATTCTCTTCATCAGTTTTGTTTATATGCTAAATAACTCTTAATTCCTTCAAAAATATTTTAATGCAAACGTTTGTTGTTTTTTAGGTCAGCTGTTTGTGATTGGCACACCACAGGAAGTGTTTTCGCCACAGAATCAACGGAACATCGTACCTCGATCCCACCAAAATATGAATATCCAAATAGAATCTGTCAAGGGTAGTTCCTCGTCCTCACAGTGTCGGCCTGTGAGTTTAAATAAAACTATATTAGTACTTTTCTTACCTCTTAATTTTGAATATTTGAGTGCTTTGCATTACATTCCAGAAGTATAATCAATAAAGGTTGGTAGCCAATTCCTCAATGTTAAAAAAGGAGTGGTTATTTTATAGTAATAGAGAACAAATAGGCCTAGCTTTACCTACCAAAATCCAGGTTTTCTTTTAAACTGGCTCAAGAAACACAAAACTTCTTATGGTTCTTTTTAGGACTTAGAACTCTCTTCAATACCTTCCTTAAAAATATTCTCTCAGTACCGGTAACGGTGACATTTTCTAACGTTTTGTGTATAGTGAAGAAATACGGTATTTATGTTTCTTGGTACTCTTTCCCATTCAGGTAAGCTTGCTATCCTCTAAAAAATCCTAAAAACCCATGTCCTTGTTCTCCGTGTAAAATTTTCAACTAAATGATTAGGTACCTAATTAAGTTGTTAATTGTTGCAGAGAGACGACCGACGAAGAGCCACTCACAATGAAGTGGAGCGCCGGAGAAGAGACAAAATTAACCATTGGATAATGAAACTAGGCAAAATTATCCCAGAGTGTTCCCAAGACTCGGGGAAAGGCAGTTTTGAAACACAAGTAAGGCAAAGCTTAATTCAAAGCCTGAATGATCATTGTGATTTCTTATTCACATTTGGTATTTTTAATCATAGTGAATAGCAATTGTGTGCTTAGTCCAATGTGACAAGCAAAAGTGTAGCTGACATTCCACATCAATCTTATTCGATCATCTGCTTAATCATTCATATGAATACAATCCCAGATTGTATTTATACAGTTTTAATCCTACGTAAACTACAGTATTGCTGTTAGGCTAGCTAAGCAACATTGTTAGGTTGCTTAACATTGGCAATACATGCTAAGTTCTGGTGAATGGATGCATTACCGGTACACAATAATTAAGGACTGGTGCAAAGCTTTTTATGTAAAATTTTGCTATTTTGACACAATTCCTGTTTTGTAAAGGTCCAGAGTGTTATCATTCTTGCTGTGGCTACAAAAGAGTGAATTTGTTGAACTGTGTCAAAACTTGGAGGAGAAATTAAAATATAATAGTGGCATTCTAGAGTTGATGTAGTATAAGTTTTAGCAAAAATATGGAGGGGGTTATCTTAAACTAGGGGTCTGTGGGTCCCAATATTTTCAGGTCAGGTTGATCCAACAGTTGGCCAGAGACATCAGTTCAGACCAGAAATAATTTTCAGGCGAAACTCGTGAGGTCGGGCCGAGCTTTTAATTTCAAGGTTGCAGAAAGCGTCTACAAAGATGAACGAAAAGTTTGATTATTTTGCCGTGATGTTCTCCGTTTTGCCATGGTTGTGGGAGACGATGATGGGTGTCACCGTAACCACAGAAGTCATCACAATTTTGCCGTGACTATGGAAGAGGTTCACCATTCACCGTGGCTGCAGAAGATCTTCTTGTTTTGCCTGTTACCGTAGAAGACTTTAATAATATTGCTGGGACTGCAAAAGATGTGCTAGATTTTGCTGTGACCTTGCAAAATGTCAACAATTTTAGCGCAATAAGCGGTAGTGGGCCTAAACGGAATGTATTTTTAAAAGAAATATTTTTCTCAAATAAATACTTTCCAAAGCCACTTAATCTTAACCCAAAGTAAAAAAGTCTGTCCTGCATAACCCTATTCAAAACTCACCCTGAGATTGTAAATTGTGTGCAGAGCAAAGGAGGAATCCTGGCGAAGGCTTGTGACTACATCATGGAGCTGCGTACGTGCAACCAGCGACTGATGGAGTGCAGCAAGGAGAACGAACAGTTGGCTGCAGAGCTGGAGAGTGTCAGTAGACAATTGGAGGAGATGAGACATGAGAACGACCAACTAAGAGCTCAACTAGCAGACCACGCTCACCACCTTGACTCACTAACCACCATAACATAGTGGGTGAGTCATCATAAAAGTACCATCTGACTTATGAACTTAGCCTAAATGCCTGTTTTGACTCATGGTATTTACTCGTATTGATAGCCTATATTACTTCTTTCCCAATCACTCTCTAATTTTTTGGTTCTTTTATCTTTGTTATGGAAGGTCGAGTGTAACCACTTACAACTAGTTTGAAAATTATGTTCAAATTTCACTCAAAAACCTAGCCGAAGACGTTGTGTATTAACTCATTAGATTTGATTAGTGTATAGGCCTATAATTGGTAAAAACGGTTGCCCCATGAAATTAGTTTAATGGGGTTTTTCACAGTAAAAATGTCAGAATTTATAGGTTTATATGTGTGTAGTAATGTTTTTGTCTGAGGCTCTCAAAAGTTTCTGAATTGTCTTGGTAGCTGAGTGAAATAGTGTTCACCATCAAATCTGAAGGTCGCTGGTTTGATTTAAAGCAAGATCGTTACCTACCGAATCCAGATGCCATTTATATCGGCCTACAATTAATGATGATTTCTAATAAAATGTTGACTTTCAATAGTTACAAGACCAGAATTTGGACCAGTTCTCTACAAAATATTAGAAAAGCCAATGTGTAGACAAATAAACATTAAGCTCACAGTTAAGAATCAAAAACAGTTTCAACAAATATAGACTATCATTTTTTATGGGTAGGATCAAGCCGAGGATAAACTCACACGCTCGCTGCGCGATTGTCAATATTAGTGATGGTCAAATCCAGGAATTTTGACCTTGAATCCGAATCCCCAAAAAAATCAAATTCAAAATCTTTGAATCTCGAGTCCCAAAAATAATTACAAATGGGCTTGTGGTGATTACAAAAGCAAGAATGAAATAGGAACCATTTAAAAATTATAACCACCACAACGACAATAACCTCTACGCTTAGGCAATGTCACAGTATATTACGACGCCAATAACCTGTATGGTTAGGCAATGTCACAGTATATGTCTTATAATTAAAAAAATACGTTTACCTATTTTTTTAATTCTTGAATCTTGTTAATCAAATTTAAAATCCGAATCTTTTCCCAGTATTCTAGATTCGGATTTGACACATCCCTAGTCAATATGTCCCGCGACCGTGGTACCATCATCAAAATGTCCCACGCTTATAGCACAATCGTCAAATAGTCTTGTGTCACGGTACCGGTCAACATAGTTTTCAGTTACGGCACTATTATAGTGTACAAATCTCAGTCACAGCATTATCGTCAATGTTAAGTTTCCAAAAACCGCTGGAACTAGTCAAAACATCTAAAAGCGTTTGGTAAGCACTATATCAGCTTAGCCACCAAGCTACAGGCCTACTTGATACTAATCAGTTTTGTTTCTATACAGGGAGTCGCCTATCAAGTGAGAAGCCTTCAATCAGTGAGATGTGCCGTGGGACGTTTTGTAACGTGTGGATAGTTTTTATGTAAATAAGTAATATTTTTTAAGCACAGATTGAAATCACGAGTCAGATTTCTCCAAGCTACTTACTAAGTTGTTAGGGTTAGCCATACACGTTGAACTGTATTGCTCGGAGGTGTGGTCTCCAAAGCATCACGTGTGTTAATGTTTAAGTTACCAATTGAAGTTTATTGTTGACTGTTTAATTAAGGTTTGAACTTGGTTTCTTTATGAATTCCTTAGTTTTAAGTTTAAACACTTTAGACCCTCTAGTGAAGAAAAACTTTACGTTACTTAACGAGAAAAGTGAGTGATGAGGTACGTAATGCATGGATTTTGTTTGCCAAATCCTCTTAGGCGTATAACAGAAAGAAATGTGTGTGTGCAGCCTGTGTTGATAAAATGACTTGTGGCCTGAATTTAAGGGTTATTTAGTCATAACAATCACAAACCTTGCTAATCATTTTCGATTAACCTTTGACTATTGGATAGTGAAGTAAACATCCCATTTATATTGACCAGATGTCACCAAATGTTTACTAAAAATTAAGATAGTTCCAGCCAGTCACAGATTGCTCTGATGTCTAAAATTCGATTTCCTACCTTATTTTTGTTACTGCGATAGTAGACGTGTCACACAAAGCTATAGCTTAACACAAGTCCTATCACTTTGACTTACTGGCAAATATTTGACACAAATCGGTAATTTACATCAGCACAATCTGTCAGTGGCTCACTTGACCTCTATCTTGATTAAAGAACAGGATTCAATTATAACCTTGGGATAGAATGGCTTGTTGTATTAATAGTCAAAGATTTATAGCATGATAAAAACATAGAGGTAACCATTTTTACAAACAATGAAAATGTTTTCTATTGAACTTGTTACTTTTCAAACTTAAGATCTTGCTTGTAAATTGTTTACACACTGTTGGTTTATATTATGGTTGGTACAATAAAATTGGTCCATAGTAAATTAACTAACATTAAACATTTCTTTTAGAAGTTATAGTCCTATAGAATGTCCTCAATTTATTGATTTTATTGTTTTTACCTTGACAATTCTTTATTTTCTGTTTACACCAGTTATTTGAAGTTATGTTGCACCTGTTACTCTTGACGTTAGAAACATACAATGGCCTTTAAACCTTTTGAACATTCCACCATTTGTTGTAGCTAGTGTTAGGCAAGTTAAGACTTAGTAGTGCTTTTTAATTGTTTTAAACTATTTTGTTTCATTTGTCTTATTGACTATTTCACTCAAAAACATTGTAATAACTCAATTTTAAAAGAAATGTGTGCATGTTTTAAATGAATTATTTATTTTTTTAGGAACTAAAAGTGACTTTTTAATTTGGATTTGCAAAATAATCAAAAGTGTTTGTTGAGTGTTATTGTTAAGTGTTTCTGTTTCTTGCCTTTATGAATCGTAATTAGAGAAATACTAATATAGTGTTTACTCACTGATGGTTTTCTTTTATATTTTCACCTTCATGATGTAAACTGCTTTAACTAAAGTGTTCATGGTATCTGTTTCCTATTAATTTGATTTTTCACAGTTATTTATGAATCATTATAGGAAATCTTGGACCAAGTGTCTTAAGTCGACTCATAAAATGTGTTAATTTATTTTTATTTGAAGATGGTGCAGGAATAACTAATTAAAATGCTAAATATACCATTTAAAAGGGGTTGCTGTTAGATAACCAACCCCTGGTTGTAAAAATAAGTTTACTGGTACCTGACAGGGCCACTGTAAAATTATGAAAATATATTGCAATATCTTTGCTTTCACCGACTGTACTTATCTCTTTATCTGAATTTGAAAGGAGCAACTAGAATCAATTAATTGTCTTATTACAAGTAAACTGTAATCTTTGCTCCTTCAGCAGGTAGGATGAGGGCACCAGTAAATGACTGTTCATGCTTGAGTTTCCACTCCATGAAGTAGGCTATTAAGTCATAGTGTAAATAATATGAACAATTTGTCCATATTCTCCTGTAGCCTACTTCATAACTTGATCAAAGTTAATGTAAAAGGTTCAAACTGTGTCAAAAAATACAATTTATCACTCATAAATCATTGCACTAGTGAATGACCGCTAATTATTTAACATTTTAAAACTTTACTAACCTCCCACCAAATATCTCGTTCAAGATTCTCCGGTCGAAGCTGGACCCCCTGTATACAATAGAAATAACAATTTAACACTATTCGTGCTATCGACATGTTTGAACATAAAAGTTGCATTTATTTCAATGTTAAGCAATTGCGGGAATTCCCGTCATCAGCACCCAACGTGTTAAGGATTACTAAAATATAGATTCTAGTGAATTGCCACTTTTCAAATAGTCTGCAGTGGAATTCTGGTAAAAGTGTTTCCACATGATTCCTAATGAGATTTTGTTTCCTAGCAAGCACATATCCATCAGAAAACATCGGTATCAACATCCATTGTATTTTTTAACCAAAAATACAGATTCCAATCAGGCCCCAAAGTTACTTTTAAGACCGTTTGTGATAGACTAGGCAAAACAAAAAGCTTAACGATATTTTCGTACAGAACAGCCATTTCCTGGAAGGTTGTCATTCACTGGTACACTCATCCTATGATAAAAGACGATTGTATAATTTTGTAATAATTTTTTTGAATTATTTCAGAATAGACTTATATAGCAAAGTACAAATTGTAAGTTTCAAATTGTTAATGGATTTTCTATCAACTTATTGATTTGAAATTCCATAGCTTTTTCTGTTTAAAAATTTCCCATGTCTCTGGTACAAAAAAGATATCCTGTTTTTTAAAATCATTACCCATTTGAACAAAATTTTAATACAGTTTTTGTTTGATTTTTTAGCTGTATTTCATAAATTTAAGTTTTTACTCATTGTGTTTTATTTTCTACTGTTACATAATATTGCTGTTATTTTTGTACCAATTATTTTTGTCTTTTTAAGAAATGTTTTTTACGTCCAAAGTCTTGACTGCAAGTTGAGATATAGTTTTTGACTGCAATGAAAAGAAAGTTGTTTGTTATTGTAAATGTTATGGCGGCTTAGTCTTAACATGCTAATAATGATGTATATAAAAAGTCAACTGAATATTAGTGTAAAGCAATGCAATGTAAATATTTATTCATATGAAAAGAGTGATATGTTAATAAAGCAAAGTTATTACTATGATGTGTTTTCAATTTAATGCTCTATTATAGACAAAAGAATTAAATATAGGCCGATAGCAGTGCAGCGGATAGCATATATTCTGGCGTCCACCGCTAGAAGTGTCGTGTAGTTTCGGGGCACACCGCTGCGGCGTCAAGTGCTAACGAGCGTTGTCATGACAAGTCAGTAGTTGGAGCCGGGGTTGCCAACTTTTGGAGGATTCCCCTGAATCCGGGGAGTAGGAGTTTGTTCCGTTATTTTCCTGTGTTTTAAAAGATTCTGGGGATGTTCGAAAAATGAGCTTTTCTGTTAATATCACAGGATTTCAGTATCTTGTACTTTACCCATTTAAAAAAGTGGGTCTGATACGTAGCATTTTGTTTGCAAGGGCAGTAGGGCTGATAGTAGACAGTGAGTCGACGATGGCAGCGAATAGATGAACATTGAATACTTTCTTTGTCAGTCTACATTTAATTCCTTTGTCCATGGCTCTATTCACACTTGCCTGATTTAGCAAGAAAGCGCCCATACAACTGGAACTGCATTAATTACCCTTTATCAAAAAAATGTTCTAAATGTAAAAGAGCAATCAAAAATCCCTCCTACTCAACCCCAAGAAACCATCAGGTTATACCCAGAAAGTGTTAGCAGACCCAATTCTGATTTTTTTTTAATACTAATCAAACTGGTTGGTTGTATGCTGTTTCAATCAAACTAGCAGTAACTGGAACTGGAACTGAAGTAGCCTACTTCAAAGTTTTAGTAAATTATAAAAATGTCAATCTTCTACTGAAAGATTTAGTCAGCAAATGTCATAATTCTATTCAATGCCCCAAAATACATTGGGAACTAAGGTGATCAAAGCTACCCCGCTCAAATATTAGTTTGGCTTTATTATTACTAGAGTGAGCCCCGTGGTCGAAAACTTGACAAAAATATGTATTATGCAAACTTCTTTATTTTCATCCCACACTGTAAATCAAATATGTGATAGGAATTTCATCCATTTGTTTTTATTTTCTGTTATATTTCGTCACCCATGGCAACCATGAGGCCCATGTTAACTTTTTTTATTTTTTATTAGTTTTTTGTGTTTTTTTTTAGCCTATTTTAATTTATAAAGGGATTCTGCACATCTTCAGGCAAATATATTTCTAACAGTATGCATAGATTTTCTCTGTGATGCACATGAGCTGAGAAAAAAAGGTAGGTATTCAAGAAACGTGCTTGCCTATCCCATTACATTAAAATGTGCTCCATTATACCACGGGTGTAATGGTAGGTAGAATGAGAAGTTTACTTGCAGTAATGTCAATGAAATCTACAACTTTAGAATACAAATGAGCTAAAACTGCTAAATTACTTCCATCACTTTAAATTTTTTAGCCACATAAAAATGTTTGCCAGGAGTTTAAATATTATTTTTTAAACATACATTTTTTACTAATCTTTTTACAATTGGTAGAAGAACGAATACACTACTCTCAACATTTCAACACAGCACTGTAAAGCTGCATGGTTCAACAGCCTGTCCAACAGCTGATTCTAATAGCTATTAAGCCAGAGCAACACACAGTGAAAGATTGAGTTTAGTTTAGTGTGGTGGTGGACTTTGTTCAGTGGACACCCCACAAAATGACCTCCTCAGCTATAACAACCTTCCTTGTGATTTGTCTTTCTCTTCAAATAACTAGTAAGTTGAATTTTCACTCCTCATTTTTATTCTTACACTACTTTATGTAGCAGTTCAGACAGTAAATTTTAAATTCTTAATCATGGTGGTTCCTATATGTTGTTTGAGGTTAAAGTGTATGCCAATAGACTGATTATTGTTGATTGTGTTATAACAAAAACAAAAAGATTGTCGCTTTTTTTATTTATGGAAGTACACTAATTTATTAGTTTGATTCAATATGACGGTATTTCTTGTTTTCATATTTAAAAAAATATGATCTGATATTTACAAATGTGTAAAAAATTATAAATTAAATGAGTTTGTTATCAAATTAAAGTGCACTGTTCTTTAGATGTTTTCTAGATTGTTGCTCTTGCTCTTGTGTTATAAACAAATTAATAAATCACAAATCAAAGATAATATCTCTGTTGAACCACAATTAAATGTTTTCAATGATAGAACAGTATTTTATCCAAACAAACTGTTTTAATTACCTCTAACTGAGTTTAGAAGGCAAATTAGAACCACTCAAACTTATAAATGTTTATAAAATCGCCTGTTAAATTATGCACCCAGTAAATCATATGGTTTTTGATTCAGCTGCTTATTCATTATTAAACTATCTCTAGTTTGCATCTCACTAGGTTTTATTTCTGAAACAGGTTATTTTGTCACTAGCTGAGACTCAGTGGCATTTCTAGATTTGGGAATAGATAACTAGACCACTCCCTAAGCTGTTAACATAGTTTTCCTGGGTGTTAATGGCTTGTGCCTTCTAGATCCCAAAGATAAACATCAAAAACACTTCTATAGAGTTTCATCTTTTATTTACTGGTGGCACTCGAAAAACTAAAAAACGTTTAGACACTCGAGATCAGAGGTATTCATAAAACTAATTAAACTACTTAGGAATCACGGAGTATATACTAATATATTTTATTTTATCTCTTAAAAGCTCATAGGGGAATACAAATTATGCAGTTACAAAAAAATAAAAGATATCTTGTAAAAGTTAAAATTAATCTTGTCATATTGGGGGGAAATATACAAAGACAAACTGCCTATTGACATTTTAAAATCAATTTAACTACAAATTGAATAATTCCAGAAGGAAATCTCTAATTTTTTTATTATAAAAAAGCGTAATATTTTGTCAATAGTGTTTAGTAACATTGTGCTAGACTGAGTCTTATGATGTGTCAATTGGAGTTTCATATCTATTAATAGGCAAGCATGTTTCTTTAAAACCTTTTTTCTCAGCTCGTGTACATCGCAGGGAAAATCTACACATACTGTTGGAAAGATATTTTCAAGTAGAAGAGCAGCATTCCTTTGAAAATTTAAATAGGCTCAAATATAAACACAAAAAACGGATTTGAAATTTTAAAAAAATAACATGGGCTTTGTAGGTTGCCATGCTGGTGACGAAATAACAACAAAATTTAAACAACAATCATAACAAATGGAAGAAATTACAATCACATGTTTTATTTACAGCGCGGGGTAATAGAGAAACCTGCACCTTTGACTTATAACTAACTACTGTAGACATTCCATCCCTGTGTTAAAGTTGTCGCCAGTTTCAATTAAATTCGTCGTAGTTGATGTGGGCCACCAACAGATAGCGCTGATCTAAATGACTAATTTCTCTCGAATACACGATGATTTTTATACCAAGTCAAACTTATGGAATGACTTATCAAGAGCTATAGCAACTAACTATTATGACCCATCAACTTTGTCAGCAACAAAAAATAAGATCGAAAATATAATTTTAGACACGCATGCCATATACTGTGAGTGGTTCACACAACTACATGTTTTTAATTTTTTTTAATGGCGACAACTGGTCCATTAAGATGGAACTAGTATACCTGTTGCTCGAATTCGAGCAATTGCTAAGTATTACAGGCGTTATTGAATAACAGTCATAATTTCTGACGACTTTAAAAGATTCGACTCAAAGATTATGGAAATGCTCAAGATGTACATAACAGATCGATATAATCAACATTTCTTGTAAATATCTTATCATTTTTCAAAAGCTGATCTTGTTTTTTAGTGTTTTCTACAAATAGCCTTACTTATAGCCGCATTAGGTTGTCCATAACGATTATAAATTCTAAAAAACATCATTTCTATTTCTTCTCCTTGGCGGTGTTCTATGACTTCCCTATGTTTCCATAGTTTGCAAATCAGCTCTTTCAATGAATGATTACTAAGAAATGCAGCACAGTGTTAATTTAGTTTTCTTTTTAGTATATTAAATTATCCAGGCTCTCTCCCTTTTTCCCATTGTAATATTTGCGCCAACCCAAATTCAAATAAATAAATTTGTAAATAATAAAATAAGTAAATATTTTATTTCAACCAAGTCAGTAAATGTTTGTAGGAAACTGTTAAATTAGCAAACTTATTGAGTGTTTACAATTTTATGTTCTTCTCACTTTTAATTTCTGACAACAGCTGGAGTTTCATATAACAGTGTTTGTTTCCCATGTTAATCTTATGGAGAAATATGAAACTTTAAATGGCCCCAGGGCCTCACTCTCTAATTATTTCCCTAAAAAGAAAGTTTTCTGCACAACTTCACGTTACGCTCTTTACAATGACACCAAAAACATACAAATCGGTTCAGTAGTTTCGGAGGAGTAATTGTCACAAAAAACCTGCTTGCGTTAAGTATAGATGTCTATTTCAATGCGGGTACATTACATATTTTTGGTCAAGTTTTCGACCACTGGATGACCACTAGTTTAGTTTTACGTTGTTTTACCTTTATGACTCTCTGTGTAGCTTCTCTATAGCTTGCAAGTAAATGTTATGAGAAGTAAACAATTGCCTATTGACCTACTAATTATTCTCTTATATCTATTACGCACCAGGCTCCTTTTTAAACATGCAAATCAAAGTTCGTTAGTGGTTATTGTTCTACAGATTTAGTTTGAGAAAACGTCAGAATGTTTCTAGGTGTTGACACCAATTACATTTTGTTTCCCATTATTTTAAAACTTGTTTAGAAAACATATTCATGTCTGTATTTCAATAACATAATTTTAACCTGTATTTGTTACTGAAGTGTATGGTCAATAAATAGATCTACAGATTGTCATTCTTAAAAAATGGGACCGAAAACAAGGATAAACACTTCCAAAAAAGCCATTACAGTGAACAAGGATTAAAAAGATAACGTAAATTATTCTAAATATTTGTTTTGTTTTATAGATAACACTAGAATCTAAAAATGTGCTTTCCTGCTTCCTCAAACAAATACTGACAAATATTTGTGAACATATGGATGCTTAACTAACTATAAATAGCTAAATTTTAGAACAACATAAACTACAAACTGATTAAACTTTCCAACCATCTGTGTTTTGTTAATTAATTCCTTTCTCTAAGCTGTTTGATATTTTTTGTTTTTTCAATGAGTTTCTAATTTTTATGTAAAACTGCCATGATTCTGATGAAAATTTTGAGTACACTAAAATGTTATGTTGAACATTTAAAGAATTTATATTTAGTATTATAATTGACTATTGGATGTTGTATTAATAGTCAAAGCTATTGTATACTGAAGTTATTTAGGTAATTCATGTGGAAGACTAGTCTGTTAAGAGGGTTCCACTCGCCGGTTGGTTACCGCGTAATGTCTTACAAGAAAGAACCTCGTCACATTATTAAATTGTTTTTCGAGTTGAAATAAACTGTAAAATATTCACAAAGATCAAAAGGCTGCACTGGATAAACTGAAACTTCATTGTTTCTTTAAGTATTTACAAAGTAATTTGGAAAATCCGTAAATTAGTATTTTTAAATTGTGATTTTAACTTTTAAATAATAGTTAAAAAATTATCGTCCCTATCCATTGCAAGTTCTACTATGTTAAGAGCACAAAAAGCACACAATCATTGGAAACAAATTAGTTCTAAAATGTGGAGAGTTTGCACAATAGAGGCATGTTCAATCCCGAACCATACTTCAATAATCCGCCATCTTGAATTGAAATTCATGATCGGGTAGAACCCTATTAAGCTGTGTTCACACTGAAATATACAATACATTGCAAAAGTTAACAATCCAAAAATAATTTGTTTAAATATATTCAGTTGGATAAATAATATCGAGAAAATTAGAGCAAACATAAATAACTAAAAAGATATATTTAAGAAAGTAAAAAAAAAATGCCTTGGAAATTCAAATTCCTTATCATTTTAAAAGTCTTCAATACTGTACTCATCCTTCCTGTCCAAACTGAACAAACCGATCTAAAAAAAGTTAATTTAAACGTAAAATCACAGTCCCTCATTCAATTTTATTTAGAATTCTACTTCACTTTTTCATAGCGTTTGTTCCAAACATCACAGCTGTTTTCTCAGATTTTACTTCTCTTTTGTCAGTTTTTTGTTCCAAATTGTTTGATTTTTAAACGTTGATTGTTACTGTAACTTCTAGACGGGAAGTACGAGCCAACTTGGGACAGCATAGACGCTCGCCCTCTACCAGACTGGTATGACGAGGCAAAACTTGGAGTTTTCATCCATTGGGGTGTATTTGCTGTACAGAGCTATTCAACAGAATGGGCCTGGTTCAACTGGAAAGGTAATAGCAACCATGCTTGAGATAAGTTCAGCTTTGTCATACCTTCCCAGACAGCACACTTTCTCCTCAGGACATCCCACGGATATTGCGACAGGATATGCAAGATATCCCATAGTGGTCCTATGGTCAACTTGGGATATCACAGGATATCCACAGGAATGCGTAATGTCCCCGCCCGGGGATGTCCTACGGATAAGCTCACACGCATATCCGTGGGACATCCGAGGTCATCCCAGGGTAGTCCTCAGGACATTCTCAGGACATATGGGACTACTATGGGATGTCCCTGGGATAAAGTGTGGTCTGGGCCTGAACATAAAAAACACAAAATAATATAGATTTAGTATGAAAAGCTTAATTATAAGTTTAGTAAATTGATTAAATAGTTAATAAACACAAATTTTGAAGAAAAAAACCAGAAAAAAGTTTTTGGCCCAGACGGGTTTCGAACCTGGTACCTTCGCCTTGTGAGCCTCTTACCTTACCTCCTGAGCTATCTGCGCTTGTTGATTAAGGGTGTTTTCAAGTTGTTAAAGAGTAGCCGACAGTTGCAATGGTCGCAATACTTAAAATATTTTTGATACTACAGTATAGGCTATATATGATTCTGTTAATCTGTTTAGGCCTCAAGTAGTTGAATTGTTTTTCTGGTAGTTGGAGAGGATACTGGTATTTGAATATAGATTATTTAATCACCATTAGATTAGCACTGTAATAATTGATTGTTATATGATTAAAATTAGTTTTTGTTGTTTTATTAATTTAAAGTTAGAATTAAATTCACATTTCACACAACTATGATAGAACTCTATAGTTTTCCTGAACTCAGTGGTAGTAATATGTCAGTAAAGTAAAGTCAACCCTTGCTAGCCATAGTATTAACAAGACATATTTTCAATCTGGGAAACCTTAAACTTTTAAAATAAATTATAAAACCTCAACATCTTAATGCGTGGGAATCTTATTTTTAGAAAAAAAAACAGACCAAAATTATTTGTTAAATAATGAAGACGGCCCAATTATAAATTCGGAATTACTGAAAATAATTACATCAAGAACAACACTGTAACATATCCAAAATTCAAAAGATTAATTTTTCTAATATTATTTTTTATTTTTCCAATATCCTTTAAATCATCTGTTTTAACTTTGTTTAAAATTAATTTATTAAGTAAATATTTACTTTCTGTACTAGTGTAAACACAGCCTGAAGATGGAAACCAAGTTTCTGAAAGCACTAGTGAAAAAAACAAATTATTATATATTGGCCTTGTTGAACATTTAAATTTAGATATACTGTACATTTCATCAGTGGTAGTATTTTTTTCTTCAGTTTGTTACCGGGACATTACGGGACATTACAGGATATCCAGTGGATTTTTTACATGTCCCGGGATGTCATGGGACATTCTGGGATATCCTATGGCATTCGTACATATCCCGGGACTTTACAGGATATCCTGAGGTTAACTTACAAATCCCGGGACATTACGGTATATTGTAGGATATCCTGTGGATTTCGTACTCGTCCCGGGATTTTGCGGGATATCCTGAGGATAGCGCACATATCCCGAGACATTCTCAGGACATATGGGACTACTATGGGATGTCCCTGGGATAAAGTGTGCTGTCTGGGTTCTCTAAAAAGTAAATTTTGTTAAGTGAAAAAGAAGACGGCTTGTTTAACTTTTGTAGTAGCCTATAGAGTGTTCCGAAATTCAATTCTGATACAAACTCGTAAACATAGTGAGCTCACAAGTAAAAAAAGGTTACAATAGCTAAAAAGGGATTGTAGCCATCTAAATAATTGTTTTCCTGCCAATATAGCAGATCCATGAAGGTAGTAAAAGATGTGAACTATGTCAAAATTAACTTTGAGTCAGTCAACGATATTTAGTACAAGTCAAAAAGTAAATGCTTCGAGAAATGTAAAAAAGGGGGAGAGGAAAAATCATTCCCTCTGGGAAGCGCCACAGAGACTTGGGACCCACCCAAGGCACCGGTGTGGTGGGTTCGGATCCTGGTACCTGCCACTACTTTTTATCGGTGTGTACACTTCACCCTTGTACAGTATGGGCTCACCCCTTGCTTTGCTGGAACGTCCTACGTACAGATCCGCAGTCTATGTGAACAGAGAAATGCAATGTTAAGACGCTGCCAACCTCTTTTGAACCAAAAATTTTGAAATTCGCTTCATATTATTTTTACTATGAAATAATTATGTATTCAATATTTCAGAGAATAAGTCGTCATCATTGGTGCAGTATATAGAAGACAATTATCCAAAAGGTTTTACATATCAAGATTTTGCCAAGGATTTTAAAGCTGAACTGTACGATCCTGACCGATGGGCTAAAATAATCGGGGCATCTGGTGCAAGGTATGGAATTAATACTATATTCTATCTCTTTTTGACTAGAGTATAGATATACCATTGTGAAGTAGACATTTCACTCCATGTCAAAGTTGTAAGAGGCTTTTTTAAATGAAAACTTTGTTAAGCTGAAATGACAAATTACTGTGTTGACTATAACGTAACATCTTTAATACCCAAAAAGTTATTTATAGTATAGAAAACTTGAAATCAAACTTCAATTGCGGCACTCTCCGGGAGGCTCTTTCATTTATTTGTTCTCCTTATAAAGGGAAAATTTATTTACTCAGTAAATATTTATATTTATTTCCCGTAAACATTATTGTGGTTTTTTGATAACGTGTTCTTACACCCATGTTTCTGCCCAATAATGAGGTTCTTTGCATTAGAAGTGAATATTCAAGAAGAAATCGATAGGAATATGAATATTTATACTATGGCTTTTAGTATAGAACTACAGTTAGTTGTTCTCTTGTCCGTCTACAGCTGAAATTGTCTCTGCAATGTGTCATGGCTAAAAGCTTTTGGTGATTGCTGGTATTTGAACCCACGCTTTAGGAACAGAAGTCCTGTGCTCTTACTACAACACCAGCCATGCCTTACTGTTAAAATTATTTTAAAAAAGAAAGATGAGTTCACAATAATTTTCAAAAGTTTTCCAATTAGTGCATGGTTTTTAAAACTTAGTTCTATAGGAGATTAATATTTAAGTTATAATTCATAGTTTGTTGTTAAGACACTTTTGTTTAGGTACGTAGTGCTCACTAGCAAGCACCACGAAGGTTTTGCAATGTGGCCTTCAAAATACTCCTTCAGCTGGAATGCTATGGACGTTGGACCTCATCGCGACTTGGTTGGTAAGTGATGAGATGACAATTCTGTAAATTAAGATAAACTTACTCTTGATTATAATGTTATGTTCTTGTAGCAAACTTAAACTTCATTTTTTGTTCAATATTACAGGAAAAGCCATGTAGCTGATTAAGTTATTCAGTGGAGTTAAAAAATGTGGAATTGGTCAGCTGATTTACATGAGAAAATTAACTCCAAGGGATTAATACAAAAACAATCACATCATACAACTTTGATACTTCATCCTTCATAAGAGACTTAACCAGTTTACAATTATGTTATGTTATATAACCTTTTAGCGAATTTCCCATATAGGGAATAAGCTATTACTGTAGGTCTCATGGTAAGCCCTGGACCCGGGACCGATTTACTTTTTCGTTTTGAGGTCCCCAGAGGTCAAAAACACCATCCGTTCAAATTCATATATATATGTGCCCGTTAGCGCGATAACTCGAGCAAAAATGATCCGATTTTGATGAAATTTGGTACAAACGTGTAAACCTACGTTTATTCGAACGAGTTCGCAAACCAGCATAATCGGACCATGGGTACGGGGGTTTATGGGGGGTTTTATGGGGTAAAAATGGGTTTTTACCGTTTTTGACCCTAAAAACAAAAAAATCTGCAATTTCTTCCTAAACCATTTTGTAGAGCTTAAAAAAAGAAATAATTTAGTATATTGAAGCACCGTTGTATGCATTACGGCCGCAGAGATAATAAAAAAAGTGTAATTTTTTAATTCCCATGTTATTCTTATGGAGAAAATGAAAACTGTTGTAGTTTACTTGTTTATGGATATATGATGATAAAATTTGGCAAATTTATTTATTTCATCCTATACTATTAAAGTATCGTAAAAAAACACGTTTTACTTCCCCGTAGCAGCAAACCTAAGTACTCGTTAAATCTAATGAGTTATTTAAATTTAGAATAAATATGTCTTATGGAAATATTTTAGTAAAAATTAAATCAGACAAGTTGAAATTCGCTTAGTCTGCAGGTTTGCTGCGGCGGGGGTATTTTGTATCCATAAGGTAATGGACTCTAATCATTGTAGGTAAATTGTCTGAACTGTTATCTTTACCTAAACAAAAATATTTTTCACAATTATTATGGATGGTATACATATTTTACTGAGATATTAGTGTTATTTTCGGCCCCTATACCTGAAGAAAGTATTGTATTAAAAAAAATAATATTTAAGAGTGGGTCCCAGTAAAAGAAGAATTCCGAAATTGGCACAGTAGCGCGCGTGGAGTGGAGCGGACATTTGTTGAACTACGTGCATGGCAGTCTAGACGTCACAGGCATGTATCGATCGATAGTGACTCACGGCCAGTGTTGCCAGGTGTACGATAATTATCGTATTTGTACGATTATTTTGCTCCTTCCCCATAAAAAATAATTTTGAAAAATTGTACGATAATTTTGACGTTGTGTACGATTTTTTGTCATAATGTACGATTATTTTTTGGGGGCTAGAAAATAAACTATTTCATATTGATTATTATACATTTAAACACGTTTCCCACTTTTAATATATGGAAAAACGGTAACATCACTTCGTTGCTGTTCGATCTGACAACCTTGCAAAGGCATCAGCTGTGTTAGAGAGGGCCCATTGGCTACCAACTTAAGTGTTTATTTATAGGAGAATTAATTTTGAGAGAAGTTGGCCGCCATTTGTACTAGGGGTAGATTACGTGAGTATGATTTATCTATGGTTGTACCTTCAATTAATTATTGTACTCAGTCAGTATATTGGCAGTAGGGGAATGAAATAAAGCAATGAGCTGGTTGATTTTTCCAGTTGAGAACCAAAATACAATCATTTTACAGCGTTTCAATTTTTTTCTAGCAGAGATGCAGATTCCGCGTGTGTGTGTGATAGTGTGCTGCCTCCGGTAGAATTTATATTTTTAATTTTTCTAGCTCAGTGGTAGGCTGGTAGAGCAAAAACGGTGGGCGGCAGAGACAAATAGAGTAAAATTTCGGCCATTCCATCATCGACTTACTTGTTTTACATTATAATAATATTATTATAAAAGAAAATTGTGTGTACGATAATTTTGCCCCAAAAACGATAATTTTGGACTGCTTGTACGATAATTTTCGCCGGCGAATCTGGCAACACTGCTCACGGCGCGGGCGCGGTTGTGCCGAACCGTCGCCAGGCGCTAACCAATGTATGGCAACGCCGCATTAGCACTGGCGAGTGGCGATGAACGTACTGTGTCAGTGGAGTGGACCGCGATTCGGCTTTGCTCGGAGTGACGGAGTGCACTAAAGTCACTTCCATCGCTTATTTACTTAGAACACTCGATTTTGCTCACTGCTCATCGTTGTTAGTGGATTTATCTAGGATGTTATTTAGCCTGTTACAATTTTATATCATAGACAAAGTAATGTTATTGGAATATAATCAGTTTTGATACAAAAGTTTTTAAGTGGAACAAGAATCATACAAAATTTGCTAAAGCAATAATTGAAATTTCTTATAAAAACCCTATAGTTTATCATGATACCGGATAGAACATTACATAAACACACTAGTTTAGGAGATATAGCTTATGAAAAAATGACTTCCGGTCTACTTTTTGTAAGATGCAGCTCCTAAAAGAGAAAGTTTAGCGCAAAAATGCGAAGAGTAAAAAAGTGTTGTACGAAAGAAAAATAGTGGAACAAGGCTCATGAAAAATAAGCAAGAACAGGGTGAATAATATTTAATTAAATTGATCTGTTATATGTACATTGTGCAACATTATCAATTCTGAGATTACTCAAAATGATACAAGTTAAGTAATTACATTAATGAATGGTAAATTGGATCCAACACATGTTGGAAACAATATCTGAAGATCAAGTTTTTTCTAAATACCAACGTAAATACTGTTCAACTTTACAATCAAAGTCGATGATAGGCCTAACCAAAACAACACTTGACAAACACACAATTTGTGAAACACTCTAGGCTTGTAGAACATCACAAAATGAAGTTATTTGCAATCTGTTATTTAGCGTACTTATTTTTTATCGGGAAAGGTCCTTCTCTGTGTCACAACTCATGTATTTTACTGTAAAACTACTTTTATGAACAAATAGGCCTAATATTTGAATCATATTGTATTGTATAATATTCAGTATACTCATTATATTTTAAATAGAAGATAGTTTTTATTTGGATAATTGTAGATAAACTTTACATTTATCATCTATCATAAAGGATTCTACTTTTTTAAATAGAGTTTGCCAATTTTTTAGCTTTCATTTGTTCTTGAGCCAGCAAAATGTGGTCTGGTTCTCGAATGGATAGACTTCTTCTTTGTCTTGGGTCGATGAGTTCGGGAAGTAGACATTTCATATAAAAGGTTTCAAGTTTTTCTTTCATGTTTACTTCCCAAAAGTCATCGTCCCGATCAATTTTTACAGTTTTCAGACCTTTAGGTGTCCAAATGGCAAGGATGCAGTATTTTCGTTTTGTTATATGCAGCTGTCCTTGGATTTGATAGAAATAGGGGTGGTTTGATTTAATATCAAAACTTTCATGACTTTTACTCTTTTGAAACATGTTACCTATCAAGCCAACCCTATTTCTAATCACTTCCTCAGGCGTCATATTTTCTGCGCTTGATGGACACTTTACCTCTACAATTCCATCATCCCCTATGAGCCCGTCGGGAGAGGCTCCCAAGAAAGACATGCTATCGTCTATGACAAAACCGCAAGGCTGTACTGTGACCCCTAGTGATTGTTCAATCTGGCGTATCGCTTCTTCCTCGTGCAATTTACCGTAGTTGACAGAGTGTGTGTGCAGGGAAGTATACAAGAGTTTCTTTACCACTGGAGCACAGTTAGAGTAAGGTTTTCTATTGCACACCAGCCCGAAGTTGGATGCCGTGAGTCTTTTACGCCTTTCCTCAAACCATTCAGGACTGTCGCTTTGACCTGTTACGGAGAAAACAATATATTTTAGTGAATTTACAGTATCGTGGGCTTAAAATTATACATAAAAATATACCGTGTGCAGGCCATAGGGTGGGCTTATTAGCTCGTGTGAGGCTTAGTATAGTTAGAATAAAATCATTTACAATTTATACTGGTTATTAGTGAAACCCATATTTTATAGTGCTTTTCATTTACTAACATGAACGATTGCCAATTATTTTATTATGATACATAATTGAAAACACCAATAAAACGTACAGTATATTTTGTCTGTACTGTATTGCCGATTCTAAACCAGTGGGTAGCGGTAACATAGCCTTTAAATTTGATATATCAGATTTTTTTTTAATTTTTAGCAAAAAATATAAATATTAAAAATACATGAAAAAACCGATGCCCACCTCTTGTGTTCTTTTCAATTTCAAGAATTTCTTCCCTCGTCTTCTGAAGAGCTGCCATGTGATCTTCGAGCTTAGTCTGATAGATGGTGGCCTCCATGTCTGGCTTCTTTGCCATGGGACCGTAGTCGGCGTCACCTGCTTTAGGTGTAAGTCTCAACCGCCGCCTTGCTCGGGGCTTCACCAGTTCTCTTTTAGACCTTTTTGACAATTTTGTCAAGTGCCTTGACTCAAATTGTTTGAGGTACATGCCAGGGCTTTTTTTCAGCATAGTTTTATGTAGCTTGTAGAGAGGTTGGCTGGTGTTGTGGCTTACTACAGCGGCAGCGCATCTCATTTGATAAGATCCTTTTTGGATGTAGTTCACCCGCTTTCCCCCGGTAAATCGTGCCACGACTGAGTTGTAGTGCTCGACCATATTACTATCTACATCGTAGATGAGGTGACTGCTGTTGTCAGCCACGCTGTTGACTGCTACCATGATTTTTTGGTACACACCACTTGCCCTCATATCGGGTATATAGTTTGTTTCACCTGTAACAAATTTATTCATATTTTTAGTACACTCAAGAGCCATTTTCACACACAAACATATACCACACGTACTATAAGTTCCAACAACTATGAAAGAAGCTATTACCGGCTAGTCTTGGTTAGGGAAA